ACTATCGAAAATACGATTCTGCCACTACTCAAAGTTGTTTCAACTTCCTTTGAAAACAAAAAAAAAAAATGGAATTTACATAGAGGCTCTACTTCAATTAAAAAAAAATTATTGTGCAGGTGAGTTAGGTAATGATTAATATGCTAATTTTTCTTTGAATGTCATATATACTATTCAAATCCGATTTGAAATTATTTGACTAAAATCAATATTTGCTTCAAATTTTCTTTGAGCCTCAGATTCACTAAACTCCGGCATGGTCTAGTGGTTAGGATACCTGGCTCTCTCAGATTCACTATTCGCACAAGTCCGGTTAAGACATAGTTATTACGGGATAGCGGACAACGAAGACAGATGAAAGAGCAGCTTGCAGCGGGGTGGGTGTGAACACACAACTTCCCCACTCCAGACCGACGATAACATTTGAAATGTCGCAGCCAAGGAGGCAGGTCATCAGTGCACGCCTCTGTTTCTTATCAGCTGTGTTGCGACACCAAGCAGCTACACCGGCGGCACTTTTCCACACCGGCACACGACAAGTGGCACTCTCATACCATCATAAGGTACCGAGGTTACAGCCGTCAGAAGCCTCGTCATCCTGACTAGACCCACTGCAAGGAAAAGACCTCTTCCATGTTCACCAATCTGCCTGGTCCTGTGGGAGCAGCAGCCACATTATTGCCACAGATTACTACCTAATCTCATCTGCCCACCTAATCTTGTCTCCCCCTCACACACTTGGCTTCTCTTCGAATCCACTCACTACTCTTTACACATTCGGACACATGTTATGATTGACTGTCCATAAGTGCGTGAAATTTGCATAATTTGATGCCAAATTTCGGGGACAAAATTTTAAGGCAAGTGGAAGTGTCAGAATAAATTAGAGTGTATTTTACAGCGGTTACTTGAAATGGCGACACACACAATTATCTAATTCTTGTGCAATCACTAATGCTATATTTCTTTGCTAACCTAATTAAACAACCCACCTGAATTACACGTGACAGTTATCGGCGGGTAGCGAGCACTCCCACAAAGGTAGGGGAAAGAAACATTTTGAAATCCTGCGGAAACACTCCTACATCCAATGTCTGGTCAAGCGCAATATGGTCTTCGCTAAAGTGGTCATTTGTGGCAAGGTATTCAACCAGAAGTGATATAAAGGAACTCTAAATAACAAGGACGCCTAATCTTTCGTTCACTTGGCGTTTGCAGTCTCTTCCATGACGAAAGTGCACAGAAATGGCAAGAGTAAGTCGCATCTCCAAACGAGGATGCGGTGTCACAAAAGGTTAATGACCCGTAGCTCATAGAGTTTCCTAAGTATACACTAGAGGGAACACTGGTGCTAGTGTCTATGGGAGCTGCAGCGCATAGCGCTTCAGCAAGCATAGGAATTATGGGTATTACACGGATCTGCCTAGTCCTCATACTTTACGTTCCTTTTGGCTTCACGTGGCTCGAAGCTGCTTTGTCACGAAACAATAGGCAAATGTTTTGCAGTTGTGCTTCACTGCCTTAATCTTTTAGGCTGACCGTTTCAAGTCGGGCCTCAAAGTTCAAAAGAGTTCGTTCTTTAGTTCGAAACAAGACCGAAGCACAGCAATAAACAAAGCAACAAGTGCGATTTGCCACCCCCAAGTACGAAGACTAAGCAAATCCATCTACTACCCATCGTTCCCACCGTCGCTGAATGATCGTGGTGCCAGAGTCCCCTTTTAGTTAAATTTAGGAAACTCTATGCAGCAGCTGTCTTGCCTTCTCTCTAGATGCTATGTTCAGGCCCTTTTTTTTTTATTTGAACCAAGATGTCCGTAGCCCAATCAATCAATGACGATTATACCCACTGCGGTTGTAATTTTCAAAGCTAAGTTGCTCACTTGTCTTGTCCATTCGTTTTAGTGTATTCTTTCTCCTAGTCCATCTGTGTCTCGGCTTTCACTGCGTTGCCACCTCTGATACCACACATGCAACATCACTTGACGCAATTCTCGAAATAAGGCAACATTATTTCATTGAAATTAGGATACCATGTTATACAGGAAAAAAAAGCAGATCTACAAGTTGAAAGCTAACAATGTTTCGGTAATTCTGCCACATTTTTCTTCTTTCCTTTTGGTTGTGGAAGGTTTAAAAGGCATTTAATTCATCGCAAGTGCTGTATTGTTAGATGGTGGGCGCATTCTAATTATTTTTTTGAGGATAGTGTTTTAAGCGACTAGGGCTGGCTTCACAGCAGTGGATGTGTAGCAATAAGCACCCTCGCGTGAATTTGGTGGGAACATACAGCTCTGTCAACATTTTTTCAGGCATCAATAGATGAGCACAGTTATATGGAGGACCCGACTTAGTATTGCACAAATATATACACACTTGACAGATGGGGTACAAAAGAAAGGGCGATGCAGATGTAGAGCATTTCATTATTTGATTGATTTAGTTGATTTTGGCATTTGATCTTTGATTCAACTCACCTCCAATATAGGAAGGCAGCTCACTCTGCTCTTGCTATGGGGAATTTCTGGGGTTTTGCATGCTAAAATTATGCGATCATTGTGGGGCATACCACAGTGGAGGGTTACAGAAATTTCGATCGCCAAAGGTTTTTTAACATGCACCTAAATCTATTTATTTATTTATTTATTTATTTATTTACAAATACTATTTAGAAGTGACCATTTTTAGAAAATACTATTTAGAATTTAGAAGGGACCATGGTACAATTGATAGATGAATTTTATTCGAGAGATTATTCCACGATGAGCGAATTTTTTCAGATTTGCCTTCTCACGAAGGGCAGAGACGCTTGCAAAATGAGAGTAGCTAGAATAAATGAACCTCAGAGCGAGGTTTTGGATCCTCTCTATTTTTTTTAATTAAGTATTTTTGATACGGTGCCCAGACCAGGTCTGCATATTCTAACTTAGGCCTGATAAGCGCTTTGTAAGCTGTTAGTTTTATAGAAGCTGAAGTGCGACGCAGTTTACATTTTAAAAATGCTAACTTCTTCAGCTCATTGCTACAGATGTTATCTATATGAGTTTCCCAATTTAAATTGCTTGTAAGCGTGACACCCAGATATTTCACTCGCGTAGCTTTTTAACATAAGCGTTATTAATGGTATATTGGAATGTTACTGGGTTTTGTTTGTTCGTAACTGTGATCGATGCCATTTTTGATGCGTTGAGCTTCAAGCCTCACTTATCACACCAGGCGCAAATGAATTGCAGTGCATCGTTGAGTCTGGCTTGATCAGAATGCTGAACAATGTCTGCATAAATAACACAATCGTCTGCAAAAAGTCAGATTTTCACACGTGATTGAACTGAGAAATAAATCTCATTTATGTACACTAAAAACAATAATGGTGCAAGCACGGATCCTTGCTGCACTCCTGAGTGTACATCTAACGAGTCAGAAACGCCGTCATTGACCATCACATATTGTTTCCGTGATGACAAATAGCATGCAACCAAATGGACAATGTTCTGATCAACACCAATAGCTGACAGTTTCGTAATTAAATCGTGTGGTACTACATCAAACGCTTTAGAAAAACTTGGGCCTCTCGTGTTTACATGGGTCTCTCGCGTTTTTCATATCGTAGTAGGATCCCCCCCCCCCCCCCCCCCCCCAAGAAACTAGAAAAGCGCCAGACAGATGCCGTACGTAGTTGAGTGCATGCGATTGGCCAATGAGATCATGTGGTGTCTTAAATTCGTTGCTAGATTTTTAATATGTGCGCTTACCTTGATTCTGCAAGTATGTCTTCTGTGGTTAAGACCTCCAGTGATCAAGAGACCTTTCTTTGGACTGTTTGGGCCCGGATTCATACCCTGCCTTGTGAAGGAAATTGATTTCGTTTTATTTATTTATTTATTAACTCCCTCCTCTGGTCACGTGACCTACATAATGCTTGCTACAAACTACTACTACTACTACTACTACTACTACTACTACTACAACTACTACTACAACAACAACAACAACTACTACTACTACTACTACTACTACTACTACTACTACTACTACCACCACCACCACCACCACCACTACTACTACTACTACTACTACTACTACTACTACTACTACTACTACTACTACTACTACTACTACTACTACTACTACTACTCATGTCGACGACAGTGACAGGACAAGGCTGACTAAGCACAGCTTTGTGGTAAGAAGGGAAAGCTGCAGAGTTGCTTCACATTGTGTCACAATGCGTTTGACCATTTTAGTACTCAACAAGGAAGTTGTGCACACGTTGACACACTTCTAAAGGCTGCTCTTCGAATAGGTGGCGGCTGGCGGCATACAATCATCCGCTCTTCTTATCTGCGCATTTTATCAGTGCGACTTTGGAGGTTGCCACTCGCTTGTGACACTGCCGGTGCTCTTGAAGGAGATAGGTGTACGGCACTGCCTTTTTTGGGCAGAGTGTTTCTCGAGCTCTCGTACTGTGACACCCCATTGTGAGTGCTGCTCTAGTGAGATAAATTTCTATTGGAAGTTTATCTCAGTAGTAGTAGTAGTAGAAGTGGTAGTAGTGGTGGTAGTAGTAGTAGTAGTAGTAGTAGTAGTAGTAGTAGTAGTAGTAGTAGTAGTAGTAGTAGTAGTAGTAGTAGTAGTAGTAGTAGTAGTAGTAATAATAGTAGTAGTCAGTAGTAACAATAGCAGTTGTAGCATTAGTACCAGCAGCAATACTAGTTGTAGCGGTAGTAGTAAGACTTGGCAGTAGTGCCTATTACAGGAAATGAGGTAATACTATGTTGTATGATGGACTCTGCAAAAGCCACTATCGGCAGAAGCTGCCAGACCTTCTCTGTGTAAGTAAAAATTTAGATGTGTAGTTTGACGATGGAGTTTAGTAATTGAGACTTCTATTGCTCGTGCTTGACAATTTTTTTTTTGCTATTCCAATGATGATTCAGCTGCTGAATCTTCTGATTGCTTATTTCTTTCTTCTTTCGCTCTCTTGCCTGTTGACTGATCAGGAGGCCAGGAATCCGGGGTCACCATTGACGGCGCGGCGACTTGCGCGGTCCCCTTGACATGGAGTGCCCCCCGCGGGGCCTCCGGAGGGGCCGTCTCGTTCTAGGGGGCCGACCGCCGACGCTAGACCTCATAGAGAACCCGCTGTACGAGGCCGAAGGACAGTCTCCCGTACCCGCACCGCGTACACTTCCACCGGCGCGGACACAGCAGCAGCAGCAGCAACAACAGCAACAGCCAAAGAAGACTCATCAACCAGCAGCCATGCATCATACCTACCCGCCAACATCGCAGCAGTCGTACGGCGGCCCGCGGGGGTCGTCTGCACAGTCTTCACTGTCGTCTGCAGTGGTACCGACGGCCGTAGTGCCGGCAGATGACGACGTCGAAGTCCGACGAAGGCCCAAGCTGTCGCGGAGTGAGACCATCAAGAGGTGAGTTGAACATTCAATCATCGCTGTGCCTGCCGGGTTAAAGAGCCAAATTTCACATGTCGCTCTGAGACAATGCGCAAATGCATCTGATAGAGTGTTATGTTGGGCAAGTTGGTGCGTGGCTTAAAGGGGTGCTGGCACCAATATCCGATGGTGGGTATACAGCTATACCCAAATCTGCTGTATACAAAAATCACTCTGAGCAAGTGTGATGCTCAGTGAATGCTGATGAGAGATTTAGTTTCGAAATCGAAGTCGATGTTCGCATGGTTCTTTTACTGGTGTCGAAACTAGCATGACGTCAGGCTACAGTGTCGATTCTGGTGACCGACATCAGTGGTTGTGATGTTGTCAGGTATGAAAACATGCACAGTGGGCATTTGCACATCACCAAAAACATTGAAAATGGCCACTTATGCACCATCAATGGAGTCGTGCAGCATAGCCACCGTGGAAACTTCGCAAAATTTTGCACAAGCATGTGGCGAGTAGCTCACGTTGTGTTGCGAGTGCAGGGCACTGTAGGAACCGAAACTAGCTTTTATAAACGTGTTGTAGATAATTACTCAGTGTGTGCTCGCCCTTACTAGTACATTATCTAGGCTATTGATGGCTTCCTTTCATTTGACAAAACAAAAAACTGAAAATTTCTGTGTCAGTACCCTGTTAATGAAAGATTTGTCGGGCAAACTGAGAACAAGGAAGAAAAAGAAACCAGTGAAAAGACTGGATATGGTGCCAGCTATATGATCAAGTACTACAGAGCTGGTGCCCTATCCTGCCTTCTCTTTTGCACTACACAATAGCAACACTGATTTACACTGGAGCACCATTAGAGCACGTAGGAATCGCACCGGGAGTAAGTAAACGTATTTTGTGATATGCACATAAATTAGCTTCTTTCTGCTGTGTCATCTCTTTCTTTCTATAGAAATTGAATCGTTACGTTAAAGAAAGCAGAAGTCGGCCGGTTTGAAATGAAACTTTATTTGGCTGAACTTGTGGCCGGGAAATAGAAAAAAACAACTTATAGCAGTACACACTGTACACTGATAACGACGAACAGAGCGTTGGCCGTCGATTAATTCTATGAACGGCCAAGTGTGCCGGCTTTTATACATGTATCATCAAAGATTCCAGCGTTGTCACTAGCGGCTGCTCAAGTTCTAGAACTAACTCTAATGTTCGTGTTGATCACATAATCTCTTCAGAAGGTTCTAAGATTATCTTGCTAGTTCTTCGTGATTTGGGTGCTCTTTGTGCGACAGAGAAGTTAAATTGTAAAGGGGTGGTAACGTGAAAAGAGAAAGAAAAAAAAAGCATGTGTAAAAGTATCTTCGGCCCATCAGAGTGCAAGAAAAAAACAAAATGCTTCGAGCGTATAACAAATTCCTGTAACTTTGCTCGTACTTGGCGGGCTCGCAAAATATTCACAGCAATGTACTTGTGAGTCGATAAAACTTCAATACCGATGTTGTTCATTGGTTACTTTAAGATCCCTTTAATAACTTTTTTGTTTCCTTTGGTGAAATGGCTTGCCAGTGCATCAGTTATTGGCGGTGGTGTAGTGGATTAGGGATTCGCTCTGGCCTTAGTCCAACACTTTTACAATATATTTATGTAAAAATTTTCATCGTCCTTTCTACTTTTCCGCATTCGCAGATACGTGAGGAAAAACACTGCTTCGTTTTTCGGTCTCGACGAGGAGTCGGCACCCGAGAGCTGCCAACGATGGACGCTGCGGCGAAAGAGACTGCTGAGCAAACGCTACGGCGAGATCAAGGCGAGTCTGCTTCCGTAACTCTAGCATGCAATTTTAGGTTTGGTGAAAAGTGGTAACAATGGCACATGGTGTGAAACTAGTGATAGTGATGTAATGCTGAGATTACATTTCAGACTTGTTACTTTACTGTACCAGGCTGAAAGGTAGGTCCAACACCAGTTGAAGCCTGGAGGTCGTCCCGTGTGCATCTTTTTTCGTCTTTGTGTTATTCTCGCTGCTAAAATGCATTGCAGTCAAAACCAACTAGCCGGACCTTCAGCATTAACTCCAACACCAGTTTTGTTTACAAAGCAAGGGGAACCGCAGGGCAGCTTTGCTGAAAGCATGACGATCACATCTTTACGCTGGTGCCATTCTCGGTAATCATCCCACTTCGGTATGCCTCGCAAATTCACTGTCTGCTGTTTGTAAAGCAAATGTATGCTGTGATGCGGTGATGTAAGCGAATGTATGCTGTGATGCGGTGATGGAAGTACTGCTCCAATTGCTCCAAAGTGCTGCATTTTTTTGTAACTGCTTGTAAACTGCTCTGAAATGGCGTTTGAGAAACTAAAAACAGTGAGATTAAACAGTGTGACCAGCCAGCAAGCCTAAGTGAAAACAAGAACAAGCTGCGTACTGTTGTCGAGTATGCAGCTTGTATAATAACTGTATACTAAATATTGACAATGCTACACGTACTCTCATTTACTATATATATCTAATATAGTCGCAATTTGTACCTTGCAAGCATACTACATATTTTGGTGAAATGTGTGCAAGATTTCAGAGTCGTACTTGCCCCTGCGATGACAACTTTGATATGTGATTGATTAAATTCAACTCTTTCATCAGCTTTGACCTCGTTTATGTCACAAGAACAAGGGTTTTAAATGTTAATTCATTTAGCTTATTTGATTCTTGATATTTTAAATGCCGACTACTTTCGCAAAATATAAAAACAACGCTTACTTGGTGTTGGTAGTTCATCCATCTACTTATGATTCTTGCGATTTGCAGTGGTTATTGTATCTGCAATATGTTTAATAATAAATATTAATGTATAGGAGGCGTAACTGATGCATTGAAGTCCAGGAGTCGTTTGGAATATTTCGCTATCTGCTCCGAAAACACCTCTAGCTGTTCCAAATCGCCATCATTCCTGCTCCAGAATCTCCAGAACACTGAAAAGCCTGATTCATGGTTTAATTCAGGGTTTGTTGCAACAGAGTAAATACAGATACCAAATAGTAATCATAATTATAGCAATGATAATTCTGTCCACAGTAGGCTATTGCATGGTGTAAATCGTTATGTTGAAATAAGCAAGTGTCCTTGGATTAAAAAAAAAGAATATTTGTGCTGGGTTTTGCACGCACATCTGTATTTTATGTGTCACTAGGCTTTTACGCTAGGTCGATGTTTTTTTCTTGTTTTGGTTTTTGATGCACCATGCATCTGGGTCACGGGCGCCCCGTACTTTATTTCCGGAAAGCTAGCACACATGTTCTTACAGCTGCATGGTTGCTTTGTTGATGCGTCAAGCTTGCGTGGGTGCCTCGAGCTAGGCGAAATTGTCGTTTATTCTTCTTCGCAACATTCGCTCTCGCAACTTGCCGATCTTGTATATCTTATGAAGACTCGTTTGGCTGTGTTGACCGCCGTTGTTCGATTAAGTCTATTTTTCGAGGATTGCTGTGGCACTTTCAAGTGATTTTCCAGCTTCACGGCTTTTGATTTGAAGGAGTGCAGATCTTGGTTGAGCATGACAATGCTTGCAAGTTTAAAGAAGTACATGGTGCGGCAGATAAAGAATGTTTATCTCCTTTGCTTTAAGCCTACCTATCTGGGGGATTTCCACTATGCACATGTACATTTAAGAAGTGAATATGGTGACCATTGTTATCTTCCGCATTTTTGTACTATGGTCGTGATTAGTGACTGCCGCAGAATTTGTGGCCTTTCTTTGCATGCACATTATTCCAAATTTCATAGCTTGTTGCATTGAATGTTACTTCATATTATTTATTTTTTTTTCTCTCTCTTTTTATGTGCAATGCCATTCGTAACTTCACGCTTGTGTTGTGTTGCTGTGTTGTGTATTTATGCCCTACTCTTGCCTAGGCCTCCATAGAAGTCCGGCAGTATGTAACTAACTAAATAACTAAATAAGTAAATAAGCTACAGTAGAAGCTAACCGGTGTGCACATAACTAGCCAGCATGACCTGAAATGGCGTGCCAAATTATTGTGCTTTATGAACATCGTCCTGGGGCTTTTTTGCATACATGTTTTAGGCATTTGTTAATTCAAAATGAGTGGGGATTAGCAAAGCTTTGCAGTATTTTCTGAGTGGGGGCATACTAATTCTTTTTTTTTTTTCCAATGACTATCACAGGAGCAGTACATGCGATCCAAAGACTGGCACCTGTCGCACCTGCAACCTCTCCGCGCGGACGACACCCAAGACGCAGTCGTGCGGAGGTCCGTCTCCGCGAGGGAGACCGCGGCCGAGCCGTTTCACCGCGACCCCGTCTACAAGATGACCTGGGATGGCCTTACCTTTCTCACGACGGTGAGGGGAACCACGCTTTGGCAGATACAGACTTGGCTAGACAATGTGCCGAACACTTTCCAGTGCGGGGGAGCAGTTTCGGTGCTGGTACCTGCTTTTAGCCTAATGAGTTTGAGACGAGTCAAAAGTCTGTTTTTATCTTGTTTTTGGGAGGATGAGACATCATCAGTGGTTCTTAATTACTTGTAACTGATCTACCTTGTAGAGATTTGGCCGGTGAAGAAGGCGACGGTGGCCATTCGGGCAATCACAAAATATGGAAAGCTTGACTTGTTTCACAGAGTGCATTGCGAACTGAAGAAAATTGGTATAAAGGTGTTTTGATACACCTGACAAAGGCGGTAGTTCAGGCATCTGCATTTGCAGCGTAAAATTACACAAGTATTGTACAGTGTTATACAACAATATGTGGCACATTACACAATGTGTTATAAAATCTTGCACTGAAACACTCATCAGAATAAGGTCACGGAGGGTTGAAATAACTACTCCCAAGTTCGTTTAGAGACTGAATCACTGTTGCACTTATTCATTAGCAAGCAACTGTCTAGCAGGCCTTGCCTAGGGACCTTTATTTTTTATTCTTTTTGTTGAGTCACCAGGTGAACATGATGTACAGACTCACCATGGGAAAGAAAACATTGATTCATTGGTGTGATGCAGTTTGTTCGATGTAATGGCCCCGCCGCGGTGGTCTAGTGGCTAAGGTACTCGGCTGCTGACCCGCAGGTCGCGGGTTCAAATCCCGGCTGCGGCGGCTGCATTTCTGATGGAGGCGGAAATGTTGTAGGCCCGTGTACTCAGATTTGGGTGCACGTTAAAGAACCCCAGGTGGTCGAAATTTCCGTAACCCTCCACTACGGCGTTTCTCATAATCATATGGTGGTTTTGGGACGTTAAACCCCACATATCAATCAATGTTCGATGTAATGTGCATCGATTTTTGGACTTTGATAGGTAATATGGTGATTTAACATTGTTGAAAAAAGCCTTGCGCCAATAATTGAGATACATTCAGATCCCACTATAGCAAAGATGCGCTTGTCGCAAAAATAAGTTCATCATATCCGAAAGTTTGTCATCAAGGTATACTCCTGGTGCTATATTTATTTCAAGACTATTTTTGATTCGCTTCGTTATAACCGATATTTTGTTATATATGGTTTTTTATATCAAGGTTTGAGTAGTAATTCACATCTCCCTCCTGTGATAGGGCAAGGCTCTGCACACAACAGCTCTGTGACATCTATGTGTTCCACTGTTTTCTTGCCTCTTGTTTGCTGCCTCACCAACATATCATGATGGGCATCAAAGGTAAATGAGTATTAATTAGGAGATTCTTAATTAAGTGCATATCTGCTTCTGGCGCTAATTATGATTGACTGTCTAGAAATGCGCCAAACTCCCAAAACACATTTCCAAGGCATTCAAATGAGGTCCACAAAAAAAAGATAATTAAATAATATTTTATTTTCCATGAGTTTCAGTAATTGCAATTAGCCAGCAATTAAATATATTGTCACTCTGCAAGCAGTCAGATTTAATTCTTTCACCAAAAAAGATTGAGTGTTAGGTTCGAGACAGCTGCCCCGTTTGTTTTTCGGTTGCATTCATTTCAAGCAAAGAAAAATAATATCGGTTTCTGAGCACGGCGTGTCGAACGATTGTAAAACATGGTTGTGTCTCCAGCAAAGCGATCCTCTGCAGCAATACGCAGCACAACAAGGTCAAATGAGGCTAGTTATTTACTCAGGAAGCCTGTAGAAATGTGCGCACTGTGTTCCAAGCCATTTGAAGACTCGCGCGGTGCGCGATGTGCCCCTAGAGTTGATGTGTACAATTGCATGCACTGTTTCTGATAGGGGATATGCATCGCCCAGGACGTACAAGCTCAGGGTAAACATTGAAAAAAAAAAAAAAACAGTGTTCAAGCAGCACTAAAGGTTAATCAGTGCCAATTAAGTGGTTATTTAATTAAATGCTTCTTGAACGCCCAGAAGGTGTGAGCTCACAGAACATCGAGAAAAGCAGTGTCTGTCGTCAACCCATTCTTTCTGCTTCGTGTGTGTACGTTTCCAAAAGCTCAGTCTCCGTGTGCTTGCCGGGTGTTAGGCGATTTGTCGCGGAATCCCCTAAAACGGCACAATTCCCGTTTTATCAGGAGGTGCGGAAGCGGCTGTCGGGAAGCGCGCAGCTGGCCAGGCGGGGTTCCCTCCGCCGCAGCTTCATGCCTTCGGCGGAAGACGTCAACGTCCCTGAGGCCGTGCCCGAGGGCAGCAGCCTCGGCAGCATCTCTCAGGTGAGTGTGATATTGTCTTTACAAGCAGTGCACTCGAAGGGCACACCAAACGAAACCGTGCAAGGCATTGAACACTGTCTGCTTCTTGCTTAAGGAGGGAGGCTACCCCGGAAACCAAATTTTTTTATTTTTTAAGATATCTTAATGAAACTTCAAGGTATATTCACCATATTAAAACTAAAAAAACTGCTAAGTTTCATGCAATTATGTTCAGGGGTTCTAGAGTTACTGAGGTCTAACTGAGTGGTTCACTTGTGTGCCTGGGGAAGAGCCAGAAGAAATCCCAAGACATACCAGAAGGCTGAAATTGTTTGTGGTCATGCCTGGATAGATATCCTAGGGCACTAAAAAGCCGCTTTTTTCAATTTACCCTCCAAAAAATTTTATGCAACTTTGAATTTGATATAGCCAGAAGGTATGACATTTATCGAAAATCAATTGCTTATAATAATTATTGGCACCAATATTAAAAAAAAGTAGCTTGTTGCACCCTGGAAAAATCATCCAGGAGAAAAATAAAAGAAACGGCACACAAATCTGATAAGCAGTTCTTGAAAAATCGCTTTCCTCGGCACCACAACTAGCTAAGGAAATCAATTTCGAGAAAATGGGCTTTGAAAGTTCAGCACACGTGTTTTCCACAAAAAGCTCCAGCAGAGTAGCTTGAAATGTCCTTGTGCACTTTTTTCCTCTTTTGGCTTCCCTCCATCTTCTCCAAGTGCCGTTTGGAATTTTTTTCAGGCGTAGGGCATATCTCTCTCAAGAGCTGGCTGCATCAGTTGCAATTTTTTCTGCGTCGCTGGCGTAGATTTGAGTTCAGCGCGAACGGCGTCTCGACGACTCGCATCAATTTCTTTCTTAGGAAATGCATCCGCACATGAAGGGTCGACGGCCCATGCACGCTATTAGCTCTGATGCAGACAATGTGCTGTGTCTGGCGATCTTAGCAACACTTGGTGTCATGCTCGATGGCACCGATTCAGAGCACGTGCTGGATCCAGCGATCTCGGACGCGCTCGATGCATGCGCGGCTCCAGGTACACATGGTTTGTCGGATTCTGGACTGGTGGCAGCCGACAGCACAGTTTCACGGCTGCAAGCATCTATGGACTGGGCACTTGCAACAGAAAAGTGAAATTTCGATTCTCGTAGAAGCCACATAACGCGTTTCCGCGCTTCGAATTAGCACACAGTCTTCGGCTTCGTTGCCAGCATCACGCACAGCAACAAAGATAAGGGGCACAAAACTTGTATGAAAAGAAAAAAAAAGAAGAAAAACTGATCGAAAATACAGCGAAAGGCAAAAAACGGCTCGTAAGCAAACGTCTATCGAGGCTGACGGAGCAGAGTGCGACAGCGAGACGAGCGCGTCGCACGTGCCATCGCCGTAAGGGACCGCCCCCGCTTGAATGAGCTACTCTGGCCAATCAGCGCTCCCCATTGCATCTTGGGGAGATGCCGATAGCATCTCTACCGCGCCTTTGACGCCATTTTGAAAGGTGGCAAACGAAAGAGAAAGAATTCACGGTCAAAACAAGACCAAGATGGTGCGGGACGGCCGCATGGTCTCGGAATGGCGTCCGCGAAGTTAGGTTTGATTTTGGCTTTTGAGCATGTTTTGGGTGCTGCGGCGGCCTCGAAAATAGCATTTTTTTTTTGCACTTCGAGGTTGAATTAGGCGCCGATATGTACAGAATAGGTTGTTTATGTGACATACAACCCAACAATATGGTTTTTCAAAAACAGACTTTTTCGCGATTTTTCGGTTTTCAAGGGCCGAATCCCCCCTTAAAGACTGGCTGTTCGGGCCAGTTGGTGGTGCGTGCGCACTTGACGAAAGAAGTGGAATGAGCGGGACAACAAAAGGAGAGACACACGGGACGAAGCGCTTTGACCTGTGTGCATCTTCTTTTGTTCTCCTGCTCATTGCACTTCACGAGGGTATAGACGCGGTCGCTGATCAACTCAAAGTTAAAAGACACGGAGACGTTTCAGAACCCATGCGCTATCCTTGTTCACACTAAGCAGGCAAGGGCCAAACATAGTTTGCATAACATCATTTCATATTGTTTCATAAGTGCAAAGAAAAAAAAACAGTGCGGCAGAAATTCTATTTTCAAAGAAGCAAAAACAGGGTGAACAAACGAGGACATTAGTTACAAAAAATGACAAGAGCAATCCCAATAAGTGCGAATTCTGGCTTCTGGAATCTTTAAATACTTTTTTATACAATTTCCAGTGACCAATAGCATAACTTTTGTTCGCATTGCTTTGTATGAGAAGTATGAATTGCAAAATTTTCCCTTGTTAAGCCTAAGCAGCCTTGTGCTGCTTAGGCCTAACACCAGTCGTTGAGGCTTACTGCTCACTCTCTAGGAGTGTGGATAAGGGATACTCTGATGATGAAGGCGCAAGTTTTCAATGACACCAAGCAGTTTGCTTTGTTTAGTTCACTTAGGAAGTCATGTCCACGATTGTGGGGCAGGTATTTAATAGGTTATACTATCCAAATGTTGTTACTTCTCTTTCGAATTATAGTAGCTCGCCACCCTTGACCGTTTGTCGACAGGATTCATCTAAAAAAACTTCCCCCCGCCCTCATTGCAGCTGCCCGCTTCCGACATGCTGGTGGACGACGTGTTCTTTGACAACACGCCGAGCGCCACGCCATCTGTACTGGCGGCGGCGGCAGCGCCTGTCTGGCCGATGCCTCGCACCCCCGTGGAGCCGGCTCCACATTCGGCGATGCACCGAACGGCAGCCGCGACGTCATTGCACGGTCAGCGGAAGGAGTCCACCAGGTGGAAGAGGCCTGCCTCTGTCCACGATGATGTCACGGACGGCCGCCTCTCCGTAGGCATGAACCGCATCGGTGATAAGGTACGACATGCGTAGGTCGACAAAGAAAGTGGAGCTCGTTTGGGCTCATTAACTAAAATTATTCTGAACCACACTCGTTCAGGCTCAAACTCGTGAAAATATTACTCGCCTGGGCCCACTCAGGCTCATCCTCACGGATATTTTCATCTACAGTTCTTTCCGTATTTACCATACTTACCGTACCGTATACTTTCATCAGACTAAAATTTTTCTCAAATGGACTCACTCAGACACAAGGCTCAGTGTAGTTGAAGGAAAAATATTTTAGCACAAAGCAACACATGGACGTACAAAGGGGACAAGACTGGTGCTATCTTATATCCTTTGTCTGTGCAACTGCCAGTCCCATCCCCTTTGCCTGTCTGTGTTTTTGCTTTGTGCTAAAATATTTTTCCGTCGAGAAGCCTTGAACAAACTAGCCCTAAAAAACATTTTGTGAAGCTCAGTCTACGTCTGAGTGAATCAATTCGTGAGAGCATCAGCCAACCTATGATGACTCTACCACCACCACTATTCCTTATTTAGCGGGTGACGCTTCCAGCGCTGGAGTAGTTTTGCTTACTGCTCACATTTATAACCGAGAAATTGTGTCATGTGCAAGAGAAAACTAACTACCTACAAGTAACAAGCTTATTATGTAAGCGGATGTAAGGTCAGGTCTCTTCTTTTATGTTGCAAAAGTGATTATTGCACAGAAGTAATCGCAAATCTAAACCTGCTTGCTAATAAACAAGTGCTCGCTTCATTTTGCTGATGCTCGTGACAAAAGTTTAGCACAGTGCATATGTGTAATTTGGGAAGTTCAAGAAGTATTGTGTGATATTGAGTAACATTTTATTTGAAAGTTCGATTAACTGTTCATTCGAAATTTCTTTATCGTGAGATGAGTAAAAGTTAGATATTAAACTACATGCATTTTGGCAATCCACTTATTCAAAAAAGAGAAAGGAATAATACTTTGCTCTTTCAACGTGTTGTTCCTTTGGGCTTTTTGTTACTCGAAAACCTTTCGAAAAGTATTTGGTAATTGGAGTATACGCTATTCGGTTCGACAACTTAGTCGAATACTATTCGAACCGTTATTTGAAATTTTTGAATATTCTTGCACCCGTATACGATATGATGGTTGAAATTTTGCCGCGTTCTTATGCAGTATAACCTCGTTACAACGTACTCGGGTACAACGGACATTCGGATACTACGTACCAATTCGCGGCGTTATGCTGATCTCCCTATCTTTTCCATTGATTGAGCTTCGTTTACAACGGACTCGGGTACAACGGACATTCGGATATAATTGACTAAATTGTGACGCCAGCAAGGTGGTCAGGCCTCCTTTACAGCGGACTTTTCTATCACGGACATCCGAGATTCAATTGTTTCCGATTTCAGGCATCGTTAGGCATAGTTGCGGCACGGGAAAAGCACGCCGGCGGTGTCAACACAAGCGGCGGCCATTTCAGGGAGGCCGCGCTTGGCTTGGATTGATCTGGCTGCCGGGGCTGACTTCGACTTCTGTTACATTTAGCGAGCCATAATTTGCAATGATTGCAATGTTGTCAAAATAACATAAAGATAAAAGATAAAAAAATCTTAGTTAGACTCGTAACGGACAATAGTGACCACTTGCATAAAACTGTGGTCAAAGTGAAAAATAAATAGAAAGCATGCGCTTTTTGTTTTGGCGATGACTTTTTGTTTTGGCGATGACACATGCCACGGCGGCAAGAAATCTAAGGAGCGCATTAGCGTTCTCTTCTGCTGCAATATGGATGGGAGCGAGAAAGAAAAACTCCTGGTGATAGGGAAGTCGAGAAGACCACGGTGCATGCGCAATATGCACGTTCCCGTGGACTGGCACTCCAACAAAAGTGCTTGGATGACAAAAGATATTTTTAACAAATGGCTACTCGATTTTGACAGCAAGATGGTGAAGCAGAAAAGGAATGTGATACTATTCCTGGACAATTGCTCAAGCCATATGCAGCTTCCCGGGCTTCATGCAACGAAGGTGGCATACTTTCCACCGAACACAACGTCAAAAGCTCAGCCGATTGACCAAGGTATTGTGCACTCAGTGAAGTCACGGTACAGCTCACGCCTTGCTGAGCATTTGCTTTTTGACATGCAGCAGAAGCGGGACTCAGTGATCGACCTGAAATTTGCCGTGCAGGTGCTGTCAACTGTATGGGCGCAGATTCAGCCAGGAATCGTAAAGAATTGCTTTAGGAAAGCAGGTTTCCGAGTTGACAGCGACTGCACAGACTGCTTGCCACAGGAAGACCAACCAGATCCTGGTGTGTGGTCAGCTGTGGAGGAGGCCTTTGGGAGCCAGCAGTTTTCGGATTGCGTCACTGCAGATGATGACCTGGTCAGCTCAGAGCAGCTGACAGATGAAGAGATTGTAGCCCAAATTCGCCAAGTGCCTAATGCTGAGCAAGAAGAAGAACAAAATGAAGAAGGCAACTCAGGGATTGTCACAGAGGAGGTGACAACTTCTCAGGCGTTGGACTATATTCAAGGGCTCAAAAACTATTTTGAACAACAGGCCACGACTTCAGATGAAATGAACACACTTGTCATGATGGAGACACGTATAGTGTCTAAAGCTGTCCGCCACACAGTACAGGCAAAGCTGACTAGCTTCTTTCAAAACATTTAATAAATCCGTTATTTGACTATGTTTGTGACTTTCAATTCTCTCCTGTTATAACAGACTCATTACGTGTTTACGTAAATGTCTGTTGTAACAGTACATGGATTGTACAGACTCCTTTTACAACAGACCAAATCCTCTTCACTATGAAGGTCTTTTGTAACGAGGTTATACTGTAATGCTGCTGTCGTCACCCCAGGTGCTGGACTGGTGCCTGGAGAACTCCAACCGGCGCCAGTACGGGATGGGCCTGGTGGGCAAGGTGCTGCAGAGGAGCTTCCGGCGCGACCGCATCACGCACGACGTGCGCCAGCAGCTGGACGACATTGAGGACCACAGGTGCGTGCGTCTCTCCGTTCATGCTCTCTTTTCGTCTTTCATTTTTATTCTTTATTATTTCATCATTTCGCTATTTATCCACGCGATGGGTCACTTAGATCAGTGTTACCATGCACTTCTACCAGTTCGTTGTACCTCCCTCCTCCTCGCTGATGTTTGCGTTATGCATGTTGGTCCCCCCCCCCCTGACTGATACCGTATTTGCACGAATATAACGCGAGTTTTTTTCCAAAAATATGCGAGTGAAAAAGGCACCTCGCGTTATATTCGCGTTCGTGACAAAAAGTGGCAAAAATATAACGCGAAAATTTTTCGAGCCTTTCTTTTTTTTCTTTTAAATCTTCGTTCTTGTAAGGCGCGCCGCACATTCCACGAACTTCGTGGTTTTGTCGCCCCATATAGCACATTTTATTCTGACTTGCGCATCCAGTGACAGCGCGTGGCAAGGCACCGTGGCGCCGACGGCCGCCGGACGTCTCGGAGCACCGCCGCTCAGGGCGCCGGCGACGTGCGCGCCACTACGGTAGGCTGCGGCGGTCGCAATCTGCGCTAGCGCTGCTAGCGCCACAGCAGCCCCAGTGGCAACACGTGGATAACAATCATTTCGGAAAAACGTGTGCATCGCCTTCCTACGCCTTGCGGTCGCTCGTTGCTGTGTTCTTTCTTCCGCTTGGCCCGTCATCATGTACAAACGGAATCAATACACTGCCGCGTTCAAAAAACAGGCGATCCTGCTGGCCGAAAATAGGGGAAATTCAAGTGCGGCACGGCATCTCGGAGTGACGGAGTCTACCATTCGAGGTTGGATGAAGTTTCGAGAGCGCATATTCCAAGCCGCACCGACACGCAAGGCGTTCCGTGGGCCTAAGACCGGCCGTTTCCCGGAAATCGAAGTGGACCTGGCGGAATTTGTGCGTCAACGTCGTGGCCAGTTTCTGCCTGTGAACGCCGAACTTGTGCAGATAAAAGCAAGGGAGCTTGCACGTGAGGCCGGCGTGCCCCGTGACACCTTCAAAGCCAGTCGCTCGTGGGTCCAGAAGTTCATGCGTCGGGCGGGATTCTCGCTTCGCCGAAGGACGTCAATTTGCCAGAAACTTCCGGCCGAGTATGAAGAGAAACTCGTTGAGTTTCAGCGTTACGTTATCAAGATGAGGAGAGAGAAAAACTACCCCCTAGGCCAGATCGGTAACGCGGATGAGACCCCGATCTTTTTGGACATACCGGCTGGCTATGTGATCGATCAGCTCGGCACCAAGGAGGTGCGCGTCCGCACAACGGGTAACGAAAAGACCCGGGTGACGGTGATGCTGGCGTGTACGGCGGACGGGCGTAAGCTGCCGCCATTTCTCATATTTAAGAGGAAGACTCTGCCCAAGAATGAGACATTCCCACACCGGATGCACGTCAGGTGCAATGATAAGGGCTGGATGGACAGCACCATGATGACTGAGTGGATCCGTGTTGTGTGGGGAAGACGTCCGGGCGCACTTCTCAACACTCCAGTTATGATTGTGCTGGACGCGTTTAGAGGCCACTTGACCGATGAGGTAAAAGAAGCGCTCGCCAAGGCCAACACTGACCTTGTTGTCATTCCCGGAGGAATGACGTCGCAGCTCCAGCCACTGGATGTCTGTATTAATAAGCCTTTTAAGGACCTCGTACGCCGGGAGTACGAGCAGTGGCTGGAGGCTAGCAATCGCCAACTGACTCCATCGGGTCGCATGAAGCGAGCTTCAGTCAGCGAGGTCGCTCGCTGGATACACAATGCTTGGGAGGCCTTGCCGTCGGCAATAGTGTCACGGGCATTCCTTAAGTGCTGCCTCTCGAACAGTCTGGACGGCACGGACGACGACGCGGTTTTTGTCGACAGTGACAAAGACTCTAGCAGCGATGATGACTGATCAGGCAAGCCAGTGATAATAGCATTTCTAACTGCTGCAAATATAAATAAAGCCTCTTTGATTGCTGTTTACAGTTGCATCACCTCGCGTTATAATCGTACTAAACTTTTTTTTTTTTCGTCGAGACCTATAGTACCCCCCTCGCGTTATATTCGCGGTCGCGTTATATTCGTGCAAATACGGTATGTGAGAGTGTAAGGAAGGAATGAACTAGGAGAGAGTGCTGCACCATGTGGGCCTGCCTTGGCAAGCGAACGCTCTACAACGCCTCTTTTTCTTGCTACATCAGTCTAATACGTGGCTTGTAAGACGCAGCGCATGTATGTAGTACGAGACGCTAGCAAGCCAGTACGTTAGTGTAAGTACACTGCCATAATTTTGCCTGCGCTGTATGTGCCCTGCCGTAAGGATCACGTGTTGGGCTGATAATCATTTCTTTTTTTTTTTTTTGACTTTTCATCTACCCCCTTCCAGATTTTTCTTTCTTTGTGCATGTGGAGGGCATGTTACCTTTTGTCCCCACTCCTCTCTAGTACCCCCTTCCCCATGAGCAGTTTCGATCATGATCGTTGTGATTGAATTGGGACTGAATTTCTTAGTACCCGTTGAACCCCCTTTCAACAGCCTAGTTGAAGTAGCCAGTCACTATCTATAACTTACCCGAAGGTCGTAGGTTCAATCCCCGCCACAGTGGTTGCGTTTTGATGGGTGTAAAACAATAAAGGCCCATGTGCAGCGTGATGTTGGCGCGCTTTAAAGAACACCAGATGGTCAAAAATTGGCCATAAATTGGCCCTTGCGCCAATAAATACCACTCATCATCATCATCGGATGGTGAAAATTGTCAGAGCCCTCCACTGTAACGTCTCTCATTACCGCATTGTGGTTTTGGGACGTAAAACCCCGGATATTGTTATATTGCATATCGCTGTCTAAAAAACTCCCGTGGTGACCTGGCTGCGATCTCCTCCGAAACCTGCGCGCTTGACTGTAAAAGGTGGCGTGTACGTTTCTTGTCCCCAGAAAGAACGAACTTGCATTGATGTGACCTTCACGTCTCTACTTGTCGTGCAGGCCGTACTTCACCTACTGGGTGACCACGGTCCAGGTGCTGATCACCATCATCTCCCTGGCCGTGTACGGCTTCGGGCCCGTCGGATTTCACAAGACGCAGAGGACGAGCCTGGTGAGACGATCCGCCTCGGGCACACGCGCATGCCATCGTGCTGTCAAGCAGAATGTGTTGCTGGATTAGAGTCCATCATCGCATATGAACATCACTGCAATACGATAGACTACGGGACTCAAAGAACAAGCGTTAACTCGCACCTGAATCGACAAACATGCTTATGTGTGAGACTCAAAAAGCACTTTGTCAAACTAAACTTCTTTACGTTTCATTTTGCTTTTCAAGATTCAGTGCACTCTGAAGTCTCGGAGAAATGATAAGCACACAGGACATCACAAAGCACAACATCCTTCACCAGCTGTAACTAGACATCGCAGTCTCGTGCCATAATCATGCAGTGGCTAGTTATTAATCATAATTATCACATCACATCACAGCACTAAGCCTGCTTGCTGAGACCATACTAACAGTATGCATATTGACAAAAATAAAAATAACTTTGTACATGTCCACAACCATGCGTTCTCACTTCCCGATGGAATTTCGTGCACCTTGGACGGGCGTCGACTGAGCTACTTTCAATCGTAAAGGACCCGATTCCAGTTAAAACTTATCGCCCGCCATCGGCTCCTCAGCGCAAGTTTTGGATGAAAGCCAGTCACAATCCATAAATTCGATCTATATCATGCTCGATCATACTTGGAAGTGCTTGTGTGGATGGGGTAGTATATTTGCTGTCCTGTTGGCTGCTTTGCGGCGAAGGGAATGACGTTTTCACGATGTCTGTAGCTGTCATCGACTGACCCCCTTGGTCTGTTTTCCTCCGCAGGTAATGGTGACGACGCTAACGCTACAGCAGGTAGACTTCTACGAACCGGACAACTTCTGGATCGGGCCCAGAGCGGTGAGCAAACGGACTTCTGCTTTACGCTCATTGTCACAACATGCACTGATTGATCGGCAGGTCTTGTTAAAAAACCAAAATGTCATTCTGCTTAGGCTGAGGATGCGGGTTTGATTACCTTTCGCAGCAGCTGCATTTCAATTGGGACGAAATGCAAAAGCACCCATGTAGGTTCATATTTCAATGCAAGGTTGAAGAACCCCTGACAGCGAAATTTTTGTTTGTTACTATTTTTACTGTAATTTGTAGCGTTGCATATGGTAGTGCCAGAATTGCATCGTAAATGTTCTAATTTATCATGTAATTAATGCTGGCACCGTTAGTTGTGACCAATTTTAGCGTCTCTTCGAAACGTCCGCCTATAATTGTAAGAAACTAGCACCCCACTGCGGACGAGCGCCTGAGACCACATGTGCTCAAGCTTCGGTTATGCTCAACACACAGTTTTGAAATCGGGAGACCCACGTGCTGTGAAAAACGAAATGATTTGGGATGCTTTGAGCGTGCCCTCGTTGGGAAAAAGAAAAGCATTGCTGGTGTAAGCAGCCAAAACCTTGCCTTGAGAGCAGCCGGACAACAGAGCGAGAGGGGCGACATGCAATAGTCCTCGGGTGACAGTCGGGGTTTCGTGTGCGCCCCGTGAATGTTTTGCAGTGACGACAGTACTTGCTGTTGTGTGTGGAACGTCACACGGGGCCTTCGTCTACGTCATATTAGCGGCGATGTCACAAGATGCTGAAAACTAATGAGCACTGACGCTTACTTCAAAACCAAATTAATTTAAGGCAACGTCCATTAGTCATAATCGGTCAGAAGGGCCCACACATGGTATTAAACTACACTAGGGTCTCGAGTTTCCAAATTTTGTTGTCGATCTTCAGAATTGGTGCAGGTGATCAGAATTTGGTGCAGATGGTCAGAATTGGTCTGGAGTTTTTCACTACAGTGCACCCTGACAAATGTATTGTGGTTTTGGCACGTAAAACCCCCTAAATGAACTGACTTTAATTGAGCTGCATTTTTTATCTCGTAAGTTACGCAACATTTAGGGGCACGTGTACGACATGCATTCTAATCAAGCTGCGCGAAAAGTAACTGTGTGGTAAGGAAGTATGAGAGAATATGATGATAAATATGAATTATGATGTGTGCTGATTATGATTTAATAGTTATGAAATATGAACTGACTTAAATAATAGTGGACTGATTATTCAATAAGTAGAAGGTAGCGCAGTTCAAAGCGTTTCTAATTGCGATGACAGCTGCTGGAAGGTCTGTGGCTAGAACAGGGACACACTGGGGAATACCAGTCTAGCCAGCATAAGCTTCATAAGAAGTAAGCGTCATCAGAATGATGAAGTGTAAAACGTATTATGAGATGATCACTTTTAGAGACGTTAACATATTATAACGCTTGTTGATCAGCTAGTTAAGCTAAGGCACGCTAGGAGTCGCTCCAATTGCCGGACACATGAGATTGTACGTCACGTAAGGTGACGCAGTCTTTAAAAGGGATCGTCTTGGAATACGGCTCCATGCGAAGGCATAGACAGTCCTGTGACCTCTTGCAAATATTAAATGTTCTTTTTTTTTTGCCGTGTGCAGGCGGACCTGGTCCACTTAGGGGCCAAGTTCACGCCGTGCATGAGGAGAGACCGTCGGATACACGACAGTATAGCAAAGGACCGGCGGAAAGAGCGCAACACGGCCTGTTGCGTCCGCAATGACCGGTCGGGTTGCGTGCAGACTTCGCGCGACAAATGCTCGGTGAGTCGCCGACTTGAATTCCTTGCTGCGTGTGCCATCGCTCTCTTTCTCCCTGCTGGTGCTTTTCGCTTTTCACTGCCGCACCCAAGTCGTACATTCTTCCGGACTTTGAAGTGAGCGTACTGTCTTCATTTCTTCCTGGTGCTTTTGCTTTTCTTGTTCAAAAGAACGTTCAATTCCTGCTCTGTCTATTTTAAGATTGCTGCTTTCCTGGACGTTGCAGTTTGTGTGTTGAAACAGAACCAGCAAAGTGTGAAACACATAGCAGTTTATGGAATACTGGAACACAGGAGACCAGAGCTGAAGTTATTTAGCATTTGTGGCACCATCTTACACCATATATTGTCAATCCTAACTCATTGTAAGTGTTCTCATGCTGCATGACCCATCATTATAGAGGTTATAGAAGATGTGCTTCATGTATTGGTGATTATGTTACGAACTAACCGCTCGAAACAGCAGCTTGGTACTGTATAAGTTGTCATGTGAGTACCACTGTTACAGCTCAGCTCAGCCTTACAAGATGGCTCGATGAGCGCCGTGGCTTACGTTAATTTTTTTTTTTTTTTCAAGGCTCTAGTCTTTCGTAATGGTTGTGTGAAGTCTGACACGTTAAAGGCATCCAATTTCCTCCCTGCCACATAAACTGTCCATGAACTGCTGCACCTAACGGAATGATACCAGAAGATCAGAGGAAGGAAACGCTACTATAGCACTGATTCTAGAGCAAGTTTGTTCTAACGATATTTCGTTCTTGTATCATCATTCACAGAATACAGTGCACTATTGTAGTTTACGGAATGACACTGCAACACGGGAGGCGTCAACGGTCGCATTGGTGTGAGCAGGGACCACCTTGTGATAATTTGTTACAACCACACAGCCTGTTATGAACATTTATTTTGTGATGGATTTTTTGTGGTGCAAGCAAGTAAAAACAGCTACAAAGTTAAATATGTTAAACGGTAGTGACTGTTACTGCCTAAGGCTTTTCACCAGCGGTGCAGTAACATGTACAGCAGTCCAGTAACACACGCAGCAGTACAGGACAGTATAATGACCGCTGCAATCCTGCAGCTCTGGTTAACGTAAGCTTCGCGTGATGGAATTGCCATCTTTAATTTCCGTATTTATTCCTTCTGTATTTCTTTATTCCATAGATTGATTATTGCTTTGCCAGCGGCCTAAATCACTGTATTGATACATGGTATATGCTTTTTACTTGGAAAGATCTCGCTCGCAAGGGGAAAACCTCTGAGGTGTATACCTGCGGTTTCTGTTTTTTTGCTTTGTTCACTTGGTTCACTTATTTTTTTAAATTGAACTCGTCTGTGTAACATAAATAACACATTCTGCGAGAAGCAGCTCGGGCAAACAGAAAGGTCAAAAACTGAAGGTCACAGCAATGACTCTTTTTTTTTTTTCCTTTTTTTCTTCTTTTTTTTATCTTGTGCTTTTTGCTTTGTAGGAGTAGTTGGCTTGGGAGCACATCTAGGCTGGCATGTCTAAATGTTCGTGTAGGCTTAATGAAAGCAAATAAACAAATTCTAATCAAAGGCGGGACTTTTAAATCCGTGAACTTCGTTTAGCAAGGGCTGCATGACTGCTTCGTGAGGCGTAATCGGGTCATTTTGATGTCTCTTGCAGTCATGGTACTATAGAAGGGCTAGACCTTTAGTCTAAAAACATGTTGAGAGCAAAATGTCTCCTTTTTTAATTAAATTTTAATGCTGTTTAATTCATAATTGAGAACCTTGTAATGCAGAAATACATTTGTACATTAAGAAAATGAAGAGAGTCCTATTCTTACGTATGGCTGTGCTCTAGTGCATGCTGTAGACTAACCCATTCAGCAGATAAGTGCAGAGCCACCTTGACAAGTGGTGGTCGTCTGAGGAGCAGTAGAGATGCCGGCAGAGCCATTAGCGAGTTTCGGTGCTGTGTTTGTATGTCGCGGCATGCACGAAACTTTGGCTGTGCACGTTTTACAAGGAAGCTATTCTTGGTGTGCCCGTCTAATGGACATGTGCATCGCAGCAGAGCGCGCTTAGTTGGAAAATCGACGAGCCGTGACATCACTGTGCTCTTTCTTGACCGTGTCAGCACTCCGAACGCGCAGAGCACATTTCCAGTGTAAGAAGAAAGGAGACGAAATCTGCAGTAACAGAACATGAAACAAACTTGACAGGTCTCTTTGCATGTATTCGTACTGATCTTGTCAGGTGTATGGTTGCCAGAATTAAACCAAATTCGAGGGCTAACGCAATCACAGAGTTGGGAGTTCTGGCAGGGGCTCCGAAATTCGTGCCTCTAGAAGTGGACGCCTGGGGACTGCGTTCATTGCATCGGAAGTGCATTCTGTCTCTGTCAATAATGTTTAAAGTTGTGAAAGCTCCGTGATGTCAAAGCGACATTGCAGTAGAAGAACTGCAAATGGGAGACGCGTCGCTCGCTGAGCTCCAAACAATCAGGCGGGACAGTCCATGAGGTGGACGCATCGAGAACAGCTTCCCAATGCACAGCATTTTTGTGCGTGTGAAGTCATTGTGAATGCTTCTGTACCAAGTACCAGAGCGCTCGCTCTTATCTCCCAGGTTAGCATTTCAGCATCTCGATGAGATGTGCTGTGTAGAAATTGGTTCGGTTTAATAGACACTTGATTCATTTGATTCGATGTTAGAAGTGAACACCCTTCTGGTTGTTTTTAGACATTGTGACAATAAATGGCTGCCTTTTAAACGGCGTGGCCTGGCAGACAAAGCTGCAATAATCATTTGCAAAGGATTCTGAAATACACCCAAGCCTTGATATAATGAATCCAGATATAACGAAGTAAATGAAAAATAGTCTCTCAATAAATTTAGTGTTACTAATGAACCATTATAATGAATTTTCGGATATAAAGAACTTATTTTCATGCAAGATGCCAGTTATAATGAGGTTCGAGTGTAATCTCTGTGGGCACCTCTTGCAAAGATTCCTTTTCTTCTTATTTCATTCTTATCGCTATTTGTGTCAACCAGCCAATTTCCGCTCATACGCCTGCTTATGGCCGATGATCTCCATGCCCTATGGAGAATATAAGCTACTTCACCACTTCGCACTGCCCTATAGACGGTGCGAAGTGGTGGCATATAGTCAAATGCTATGCAATCCATAGGTTCGGATCGTGATTGGCCCTGTCGCGCGAATACTTTTTTAGTGTGGCATTCAGTGTTGTGTCAACTCACTGTGCGTCTCTGTTTTTTCTCTCTCTCTCTCTCACCTTTCCCGCCAAACTCGCTGACACCCTTCCCACTCATTAAATCTCTCCCACGCTGCTGGTCATAAAGACACGAGGAATTATGGCTGGGGTACGCAAACCTTTTTTCTTTATTGTCTGGCTCAGTTTGGCCCCTCTCTTACATAGCTCCAAAGGTTGCACAGATGCGTTTGCAAGCCTTCTGTTTTTTGGTTGCGGTACAAAAAACTTCAAGAATATCACACGAGTTACGCGAGACCTGTCTAGTATTTGAAACAGATGTATAACCTTCACAGCCGGGGCATGATCTTGTACGTGTTTCATAATAGAACGTTCATCCTTGCTGCACGCGATTCACCTAGGCTCACATGTACTACATCCCCCATTCATGACGTTCACATCGGTCCCAACTGATCACGTGCAGCGAGAACAAACATTCTATTGCATAATGTGCACTCAATCGCAACACAGGTGGAATTGATAACATGCGACATCACTCTATTTCAAAACTCAGCTGCGTGAATCAAATTATTCATGAAATTATGATAAGGTTATGACTGCTGTCATTGACATGTGGCCCACCGTTGAGAGCAGTGCACACAGTTTCCGCGATCTATACTACAGTATTTAAAATCTCGTTGCTTTACCTGCTTAGCTTTAGCTCAGCTTCAGCCTTGCTTCAGCTTAGGTGGTGAGCTTTCATACAGCATCTGTGCACTTTTGTGGGCTTTCCTCGGTCGTGTTGTTACCTCCGCGTTGACAGTTCAAAACATGGCTGCCGTGGTGTGTGCTTCCGAACCTGCCTGCCTTTCTTCTGCACGCGTTTTTGTACTAACACCGGCGTTCACTTACTCGCATGTGCTTGTAGTGGTGTTGCACTGGCGCTTGCGCACAATGCTCTGATTTACTTGACTGTCCTGCTTTGTCTTGATGCCACTAAGCAAGAGCCAGTACGTACAAGTCGACATGATTTGCCAATACCGATATTTTTCGCGCCATACTTACGCTTATGTCCCGGTCCAAGCGGGGTTAGCTTGTTACAGTATCTACAGTGGCTGAAGCACCATGTGCAGTCTTGTTTTGAGGCAACTTAAATGTTAAAGAATAAATTTAGGGGTTCTCAAATCAGATTGCAGCTTAGGTGAGTTGTGGATTATTTAACACAGAATTAAGAGAATAAGCTCTCGGTCATATTTTTATGTCTGACCATATAAATGCTTCCTCAGATTTGCTGCATTTCTGAAATCTATTAATAGATTATCACATGGGCTACACCTAAATAGTTTTATCTGAAGAATCCAAAAATGTGTGGAAATCGCAGTGCAAATCTTAGTTCTCAGGCCTTGGCGTTCATAGTTTCCTATAAGTACACTAGAAGGAGCCCTGGCGCTAGTGTCTATGGGAGCTGCAATGCGCGTCACTTCAGCGAGCATGGTAATGATGGGTGTTACACACATTTGTCTAATTTTCGTACTTTCGGCTCCGGTTGGCTTTGCATGACTTGTGGTTCCTTTGTCACGAAACGACAGTCATCAAGTACTTAGCAGTTGCACTCCACTACTTTAATCTTTTAGGCTCACCATTTTGAATCGGCTCACGAAGCTTATAACCGTCCGTTCTCTCATTCGAAAGAAAACCAAAACACAGCAATTAACGAAGCCACAAGTGCGTTCGAGGCCCTTTAGTACGAAGACTGGGCAAATCCATGTACTACCCATCATTCCCATGGTCGCTGAACGATCGTAGCACCGCAGTCCCCTCAAGTTAATTTTAGGAAACTATATGTTGGCGATGGCTTAAGTTTATCTGCACATTTTAACCGTGCCCATTCAATTGCGCACTTTGACACTCATGCCAACCTCGGTAAGCATGCCTAGGAAGAGGGAGATATAGTATCAGAAAGCACTGCCCTTAAGTTAGTTTAATCAGGTGGTAACAATTTCATCGTTTTATAGTAGCAATAAGTTTTCATTGGTTCCAGGTAAGTTCTAATTCTCAAAGGAGTAGTAGTTCAACTGCATTTAGGAAGGTTCGTGCTATCTTCTGCGGAGATTTTTTTTTTCCCCTTTTCAGGCTTGTGCGCAAAAAATTAAAGCATTAGGCGGTATTCTGAGAGACCCCTTCTTCATGCGCCATCTTCACCATTTTGCATTCTCAGTTATGTCTTTAATATTCAAAAATTTTTACATATTTGTGAGTCTCACTTTGCCGAGACACAGGTTGAGTTTTCTGTGTTCTTGAATATACTCATTCAATTTATGGCTGTTAGAGTCATTGTATTTATGTTTGTGAAGAAACAACTTGTTCGTTTCACTTTTTTTTTTGTCGTGGTTCCTGATCACTGACCCATTTATTTGACCTTTCTGTTTGGTTCCCTGTGTTGAATCGATAGCACGTGGCAACTTTTCCAACCCTGCGATTTGACTGCGTGCAATTTGGTTTGCGTCGACGTGTGTGCCGTGTCCTTGCACGACTGCTACAAAGACTGACTTGCGTGCTGCGCTTGCAGAAGCTGCTTGGAAGATCTCGTGTTTGTCTTTTTCGTATTGTTATATTGTTAGCATGAAGCACCTTTCTGTGTTTGTCTTTTCGTATTGTTATATTGTTAGCATGAAGCACCTTTCTGGTGTAGCAAGCTGTATGAACATGGTGCGATGTGTTATTTGGCTGCTTAGATGTGCTTGCTTTTTTTCTTTTTTTTTCAGTGCAACAGCAAACGTGCATTGGCCGAGAGTTTTGCTTGTTGAATGATAGTTCAGTGTTTAATGTTGAAGCATGATCAACATAATATGAACATGCGTTGTCACGCCCCTGCCGCACATGCGTAAAAAAGTGATGTTTATGCGATGTTAGGGATACTTGACATCATTTTTTTTGCTGGTGTAGCAGGGGTATGTGATAATAGTACACTCAAACCGCATTATAACGAACCCCGGATATGATGAAATATCTGTTTTAATGAAGTAAGTGAAAATAGTCTTGCAATAAATATAGTGTTGAGAATAAATATTTATAATAAATTTTCGGATATGAGGAACTTATTTTCGCGTAAAATGCAACTTTGTTATAATGAGGTGTGGGTGTACTTTTTTGTCACTGTCTATTTCTGAATTTATCATTTGTTCTTTGTACACGATCTCATTTGTTGACAGGCTGTGTAATAAGCACAGGGCTCTCGCTAACAAAGCCTCGAAATGCAGCGAACCTAGAATATACTACAGCATTAAGTTCAGCAACAAATTTAATTGCAGGTGCTGTAGCCTGCAATCATTTGGATCAGCATTAGGCCCAGCAACAGTTCTGATTGGCATACAGGCTTTTCAATCAGTGTAGGGCTCCATAACTGTTCTCGTTGCTCATTCTTTAGCCTGTAAGCTTTTTAATCATCATAAGGCTTATTGACAGTTTGGTTGCACATGCTTTAGCCTGTGAGCATTTGAATTAACATAAGGTCAGTAATAGTTCTGGTTGAACATGCTTTAGTGGTGTAGCTTTTGAATGAGCCTAAGACCTGGCTACAGTTTTGGTCGCACATTCTTTAGCCTGCAAGCTTTTATATCAGCAAGGTGCAACGACAATTCTGGTTGCACATACTTTAGCCTGTAAGCTTTTGAATCGGCACTGCCAATTCTGTATGACAATAGTCATTATCTATACTTAATGTTATCACTAGGGCCACTTTGGCCGTGTGAAGTGCAACCTGACCTAATTTCAAGCATTGCCAGCTATGTCTGGTTTGACTTTTATTGACAGTGAAACTTGGAAAGGGAGCTGTGAGCCTTCGTTGCTATTGGCCACCCGATTGAAGTGGCCGGAAGTGCTGGTAGTCATCTTGTCTAGCCATGCTTTGACTCAGTTTCCAGGAGGCTAATCAAGCACTGAACCGATGAAGTTTAACTTTATTAGCCGTTTTCATTCTGATTAGGCTATAAAAGGGCTCCAAATTTGTAGGTTTGCATTTACACTCTTGCATGGGCACTTCAGAAAATGAACCCAGAACTGCGTCAAGCAGTCAGTGCATACACTGAGCACTTTGAAAGTTGCACTTTGTCCTCGGCATAATCTGAATTCATGCATCCTTTGTGATTACTCTTTCTAGCCCAACAATACAGAATACAGAATTTGAACAGCATCATGTGGTCCGTGTAAAACGATGACCACGCAAGCACATTTCTTCTTTGCGTGAGTGAGTGTGGTTGATACGATACGTGCCTCAATAACACTTTGGAGTTGGCGCTTGCCTTCCGGCCGGTTAGGAGGTCATCTCGACGTGGAGGAAATGGAACGTGAGCCAACCGGGACCACCGCGATGGGTCGCCGACCCGTCGGCTGTCGGTCAGGACCGGGGCATGACTCAGCGCCGCCTGTCAGGCTCAGTCTGCGGTCAAGACCCAAGGTCAGTATATCTGGAAGAAAAAGACGGTGACCTCTTCCTCACTCTTTGCGGGACAACGAGCCTGTGTGAGGTTTGACGGAGTTGGTAGTCGTGTACAACCATAGAAGGCGGTGGCATTTGCAGCTGAAAGGTGGACGCACACAAGCCTGCATCAGTGGGCAAACACCCTAGAGCGACGTCATAAGCTGGACGGTCAGTGACCTTGCGTTGGAGAAAGTTTCCGAGTACATGAGTGAAACGTTCTTTATTCATGGAGGCAAACAGCTGCCATGCTTCGGTCATCTGTTGGCAGCTTTCCTGCCTTCTTAAGTTGCATTCAATTATAGTAATGTGGCACCACATTTGTTCTCTTGCTTCTGCGAAGATTCGGAGAATCAGTGTGGGTGAGATGCAAGCACCTGCCAAACGAAGATCTGTGAACAAAAAAGCGTGCCATTGGGCTGCCAATTATTTTTAATCAGTGCTATCATTTAGCTGCAGTGTGCTACTTGTTGTATCTGATTAGAGTCAGAATCAGAAATGGTGTTATTTTGTCATTAGGAGCATTATAAATTGCTTGTATACAGAAGGAGGTTTCATAGTCAGAGACCAAATTGGGACCTCCTACAGCAATGGATACAGAAAAAAAAATGATTGAAGTAGCAAAACAGGAGTACAGCAAATAAGCAAAATAATACATCGCAAGCTGGGAAAAGTTCAATTTAAGAAATATAACTAAAGAAAGCAGGAAAAGGAAGGCAATAGCCGAAAGCAGACAACATACAAAAGAAAAATAATTCAATACTCATAGTTATAGGCAAAATGCCAAAATAAGACAACACAAAAAAATAAAGGTAATTCCGCACTCCTAAATTTGGACAAAATTCCAAATTAAGACTAGATAAAAAACAAAGGAAATTCAGCACTCCTAGACAGCTTTCAGATGAATGCAGTGTGAAAAGCATCGAGCAGGCAGTACATACACTATGCACTTTGAAATTTACGCTTTGTCCTCTGCGTAATTCTGTGCATAATTCAAAGCATTGCCAATTAGCTGCATTGCATTATCAATTAAGCTGTCCATTACCAACCAGGTTTCCATGTATGCTACTAATTAGTTTTTTTAGTCACGCTACAAATTAGCTGCATTGCACTATAAATTAGGCTACCAATTATCAATCAAAGTACCTTTGCATTATCGTTTATCCACGGGTGGCGCCACTCAACACTGGTTTCAGTTCACTGCCTGTGTTTTTCTTATTGGTAGTGAATGATCTCCATCTCGTTAGCATCAGGAGTATGTGACGTTCTGTGAAGATGAAGTTATGAAAATTTGCATGCTTTGTTAAATAGAAAATTCAATTGCTCATCTTGAGGTTTTTGCGCAAGCACACGGACAAAAATGAGAAACACAAACGGACGCCCATTTAGGTTTCTCATCTTAGTCCCTGTGTGCACGCGCAAAAACTTCAAGATGAATATGTTCCAACTAGGCCGAATCACAGTTTTGCTTCAATTTCATGTCATTGAAGGCTGTTACACAGAGGTTTCACTTGTGGCACAGGTACTGCGAGGAGCCGGCGTCGGTGTTCCCGTTTGAGTGGCCCGACGACATCACAAAGTGGCCCGTGTGCCGTCGCTCGCACGCCAGCCGCAAGGTGCCCGACGCGCACATGTCGTGCGAGGTGGTCGGCCGTCCCTGCTGCATTGGCGTGTACGGCGAGTGCCACATCACCACCCGCGACTACTGCGACTTTGTCGGCGGGTTCTTCCACGAGGAGGCCGCCCTCTGCTCACAGGTCGGGCCATGCCCTCTTCAGAGACCTTTCTCTACATTCTAAGAAGGAAATCTGGTGCTTTGGGGCTGTTTCTGCCATGCAACTAAAATCGTCGCCTGACTTGCATGGTTTTCGTGTCTCAAACACCCTGCTGTCTCCACTTTCCACCCATAATGCTACATCACGTAACACTGATAGTGCGCACACCGGTCACTATCGGTACGTGCTGGGACGGCGGTGATAATGCAAGTGCACGAGGTTGATGACTATTGTAGCTGTGTGGCAGAAACACTCGTCAAATACCATATTTTTTCTCAGAGTGTAGCACCTTGACTAAGCTCAAAACGGCTTGATTGAGCACATCGTAGCGCTTCTTCTGTTAACTTTATTAGCTTTGCTGAGGGATCACTCAACTGACCATCGAACTATTTCTAGAAAAAGAAAGTATAGTAACTCCTCCTCTGAGTTGGAATCGTTTGCAGCAGTCACTGCTGGTCGGTCACTCGCATAGCGTATTAGGTGACGCGTTAATGTGCTCCAAGATGCGAGTTTGATTCCCTGTGGTGTCCCCTGCGTTTTGCCTTGATCGAAATGAAAAGAATGCCTTTGTGCTTAGATATGTGCTAAGATGAATATGTTCCAATTAGGCCGAATCACAGTTTTGCTTCAATTTCATGTCATTGAAGGCTGTTACACAGAGATTTCACTTCTGGCACAGGTACTGGGAGTAGCCGGCGTCGGTGTTCCCGTTTGAGTGGCCCGGTACATGTTTAAGAATTCTTAAGTGGTCGAAATTGTTGGGGAGTCCCCTCGTTATGACACGCCTTGTAATAACCTCGCGATTTTTTCCACATGAAACCTAGTGGCTATTAATGCGACGAGAGCATGACGCACAAAAACATTTATATTTAGATTTAGTTGTACATCGAAGAATCTCCAAGTTGTCAGAAACTAATATGGAACCCTCCATTGTAGCGTGCTTCGTATTCTTGTCATTTGCACTTGTAGAACTGCAGAATTCAGTTTTATTGCAACGTGTCATACTTTTTAGACTAGGTTTTCACATGCACTGCGCTGCATAGACCCAAGTCTTGTGTATTCGTACGGGTCACTCGTGTTTGTGTTTATAAGGTTGTTCGTTTGCAGGTCTCCTGCCTAAACGACGTGTGCGGCATGATTCCATTTGTCAACCCTGAAGTGCCTGACCAGTTCTACCGGTTGTGGACTTCGCTGTTCCTGCACGCAGGGTAGGCACTCTTGTTCGTCGCCCTTTGCCTGCCTCTTTGCGGAGGTTGCTCCCTTCCGTCTATGTCACAGAAATTATGCTCAAACTTCGCTATAAAGAAGTTGCATCTTATAAGCAAATAAGTAATTTGTATCCAAGAATTCATTATAAAGATTATTCCTAACTGTATTTATTGCAACACTATTTTTATTTACTTTGTTATAACCAATATTTTGTTGTATCGATGTCGGTTATATTGACGTTATATATTATATTGACGACTGGAACTGTATACCTGCAGTGTGGTTTTTCTCGTCAAGGCATTTCGCGTCCTGGCGGAGCAGTGGACAGGCTTGCAATGAAAACAAGAAATAACCTGCACATTTCGCAAATGTTTGATGCTAGGAGTACCTAGTACAGGGCTAGAGAATTCTACCATTTTGAAACAGGGCAAAAGACAGAGAACACGGAAAAGCGTGGCAGTGCACCATGTCTTTCTGTGTCTTTCATCTTTTGCACTGTTTCAAAATGAACGTAAACCAACTCCTCCCCCAACTCTCCCTTTTGCTGCAGAATTCTACCTGTTTGTCTGTGAACTTCTTGTCGGTCGTGGATTACCAGGTTATCGAAGTCACCGAGACCCATGTCGAGGTGGCGGCGGCATCTTATAGGCGTTTTTCCTGCTGTGTTTGAAGGCAATAATTTTGTGTCGTGAAAAGTCGTCACCATGCTATGCATTATTGATTATCTCACAGCTAGCAGCTTTATACAGTAAAAGCTCGTTAATTCGACACCCGTTAATTCAGAAATTCGGATAATTCTGACGGCTCTATTGGTCCCGGCCAAAGTGCATGTTAATCTATGGGACCAAACCTTCGTTATTTCGTTGGAATTCGGCTCTGCACCGCTTAATTCGGACAAATGCTGACGGCTGCTGCTACACAAAAGTGTGATAAATCAGCGCTGGCACCACTGGAGTGAAACCGAAACCTGTGTGGCATCGCCATCATCATCAACTAGTGGGGGCGACCGCAGCATCACCGAATGTCGGTGTCTTCTTTCTTCTCCACTCAGCGCCTTCGACGCCATTTTCCCTTGTGTTGTCGTGTCGGAACCATCTCTTCTTGCGGAGTTCTCCTTTTCTTCCATTGTGACCGTATTTGCATGCCACCACCATCGTGCGCTACAGTGATGGCAACGCCGAAAAAGCGGCAGAACTACGACGCCAAGAACTTGGCGACTAAAGTGGAAATTTTGGAAGCACTGAAGAACGGCGAATCGCGACAGCAGGTTATGACCAAGTACAATGTGAAGCGGAGCACGTTGGGAACGTACGTGAAAAATGAACAACAGGTTCGACAAGCCTTCGAAAGCGAGAAGTTTCATGCCTCTAGAAAGCGGTTGCGAACCGCAGCTCATCCCCAGCTCGTAGAAGCTTTGCTCCGGTGGATTACTAACTGTCGCAACGCGCATCTGCCTTTGGGCGGACCTCTCATCATGGCGCAAGGTGAGAAGTACGCTGCAATGATGAACATTGAATCGTTCAAAGCGTCAGAAGGGTGGTTTGCGAGGTTTCGAGAGAGACACGAACTTGTCTTCAGGAGTGTGTGCGCCGAAAAGGCCAGTGTTGACGAAAGCGTGGCCGCCGTGTGGAGAAATGTGAAGCTGCTGGAGCTATCGCCGCATATGAACCACGTGACATGTTCAAGGCAGATGAAACTGCTCTATTTTTCAGAGCTATGCCCGACAAGACGGTGATTTTCAAAGGGGACGCGTGCATTGGTGGCGAGAAGTGCAAGCAAAGGATAACTGTGCTTCTTGCCTCCAATATGACTGGCACGGAGCGCTTGCCACTACCGTAATTACTCGAATCTAACGCGCACCTTTTTTCCGGTTAAGCGAGTTCATAAATCGCATGCGCGTTAGAATCGAGTACGAACAAAAAAATTACGGTCAATCTATTGCCATCGCAAATCCAAAATGGCCGCCCCCTACGTGCGTCGGCTATTTCTGCCTATGTGTTTACCATGTGCGGCACTTCGTACGTGTGCTGAGGAGTTCGTCATCTAGTAGTGCATTAGCATCGACGACGTGGAAGGGCCGACTCCAAAGACTCGAGTGCACCACGATGCCGCTTTTAAAAGAAAAGTCATCGCGTGTGCAGAAACGGACGGAAATCGGGCCGCATCGCGGTCCTTCTCGAAGCGTGCGTGTGGGACCGGCGGAAACAAAAGCAGAAGATTGTCGACAGCAAAGCTTCACGCAAAGGCTTCAGTGAACCACAGCAGGGTCGGTTTCCGCAAATTGAAGAGCTGCTCCGCGAGTATGTGCTTGAGGAGCGAGTGGCACAGCGGCCCATGACGACAGAACTGCTCCAAGTGCGGGCTATGCAATTAGTCTTAGAAAAAAGTCGAATGCAGAGCCTGTTTAAAGTGAGCAGGTGCTGGCTAATTAACTATATGAAGAGGAGAGGCTCTTCTCTCGGAAGGGGAACATGCATATGCGAAAACTTTTGCGGAGAAGTACGATGAAAAGCTTTACGGTTTTCAGAGGTTCGTCCTAAACTTGCGGCGGAACAACGGCTACCTGCTTGGGCAAATCTGGAATGCCGATCAGACGCCTCTTTACTTCGACATGCCTGGCACCACAACTGTCGAGAAGAAGGGGGCAAAGCAAGTTCGCGTGCTGACATCGGTCCACGGTAAAACTACAGTGACGGCAATGCTCTGTTACACGTCAGATGGGCACAAGCTTTGCCCGTACCTCATATTTAAATGGAAGACAATCCCGAAAGGAATCGTTTTTTCGAGTGGTGTGATCGTGCGGGCCAGCAAAAAAAAATGGGTGCGCGTTGCAATCGATGTCTTACGTTGTTTTTTTTTTTTTTTTTTTTCTCGCGGTGGAAATCGGGTGCGCGTTACAATCGAGGGCGTGGTAGAATCGAGTAAATACGGTACTTGTCGTCGGGAAGGCGCTTAAGCCACGTTGTTTTAAGAACGTCAAAAGCCTTCCTGTCGAGTACACAGCGAACAGGAAGGCATGGATGACATCGGACATTTTTCGTGGCTGGCTGCAGCAGTTGGACCGGCCCTTCACGTCGAAGGGCCGGTCCAACTGCTGCAGCCTGCGGTCCTTCACATGTGTGAGCATGTGAAGAACCGCAAGATAATTATGGTTGTTGACAACTGCAGTGCCCATAACTGTACAGTCAAACTGAAGAGCATCAAAGTAGTTTTTTTTTTTGCCGCCCAACACTACGTCTGCTCTTCAGCCGATGGACCAGGGTATCATTCACTACGTGGAGTAGAAGTACCGCAAGCACCTGCTAGAGCGAATTATCCTATGCTCAGAAGCTGGAAAGTTGTATCAAGTGGACTTACTCGGCGCAGTGCACGTCATCGCCCACGTGTGGAAAAACACTCCGCCGCAAGTCATCGCCAACTGTTTTCGGCACAGCGGTTTTGTGAGGCCCGAGCATGCAGCAGTAGCTGACGATGGCATCGAGGAGGTATTAGCCGAGTCCACCGATGATGACTGCCTGACTTTCGATGCTGTCCTTCCCACAGATGTGACCTTTCAGGACTACATCGCGATTGATCATGGTGTCGCCACGAGTGGTCTCCTGACCGATCAAGAGATTATTAATGATGTCACGGGCGCCCATGAAGACCACGGTTCCGACGAAAAATCATGCGAGGAGATACAGCCGTGACCTCATCGCACGTCACCGGGAAGTCTCGGAGGCACTGTTAATATTAAAGGACGCTTGCCTGAACACTCCCGACAGCTTGCGTGCTGTTGGCCATTTGGAACAGTTAAGAAAAATTGTGATGTCAGCCGGAATCTGCGCGAAAACGCAGGCGACAATTACAAAATACTTCAACAAATAAAGGTATGCTTCTGCAGCTTGATTTTAAATGTTGTTTTTCCTGTTCATTCGTTAATTCGGCATTCGGTTAATTCGGAAAGTTTTTCCGGTGCCGTGAAATCCGAATTAACGAGCTTTTACTGTATACCAGCAGTTAAAAGGGCCCTGCAACACTTTTTCAAGTACACTGAAGCCTCTAAATAACGAACCCGGATATAATGAAATAATCATTATAACAAAGTAAATGAAGAGTGGTCTTGCAGTGAATATAATTTTAGAAACATACCTTTACAACGAATTTTCAGACGTAACGAACCTATTTTCGTGTAAAATGCAGCTTTGTATCGGGTATGAGTGTGATCATTGAATGGCTCATTCAAAAAAGTTTATTGCCTCGGAAATCAACCGCAGCAAAAATGTTTGGAATCCGTTAATTATGGGCGAAGAGACGGGTACTTATTGCACGCTTTAAGCACTTTCTGTATTCTTTCGAAACAGCGAATGTGCTTGAAGCTATGCCGGGAGGGAGATGACAAGGGGGGGCAAGAAGCTAAACTCGTTAGTCAGTGCACGTTCCGACCTTCACCACTTTATCTTATATTTTGATTTGCAAATGCACTGCCTAATTTCAATGAGACTGCAAGTGCACGTGCGTGCTTGTCATGGCAGGAAGTTGATAAGCAGACTAGAACTCTCCAATATTTATTCCAGAGACAAATGCTAAAGGCTTTGACATACACTCAAATCTAATTATAACAATGTCACACCAGCCACGAAAGTACTTTGGTATATCTGAAAATTCGTTGTAAACATATATTTGTAGCACTGTATCTATGAAAGAGCTGTTCTTCATTTACTTCATTATAACCGATAATTACTTAAATTTGGGTTCGTTATATCAAAGTTTGAGTTAACGGACTGTCTTGACCCTCAAACTAAGGTTACGTCCCACAGCACTTGTTCCTGCGTGTCAGTACAGTCGGTTGACAATTTTGCAAATACAGAAACACCCGTGGCACTACTCTCTGTGTAATGTTTGTTTCTGCTTTTCCTGGAACTGTTTCGACAGTCGAGCCATCTCTAAAGATCGTACAATTGTGGTGTGGCTAAACATGTGCGGTCAGTTAAGTCAGGTCAGATCACATTGAATGTGGTCATCATGTACGCACTTGCGGAACCCATGACTACTTCTAATCATGACACTGATTGGGCCAAGGAAAGAATGATATCAAAAGGAACTGGTGTTCTTGTCGGTACCTGGAATCTCTTTTTATCTAGACTGCAAAAGAAAAAAGAATTGCTGAACTTGAGTGATGGCAATCTTTCACCAGTGTAGGCCAGATGTCCCGGCCATGAACCAAAACCGTCGTAAGCCCATATAGCTGAACCACTTTTGTGTGAACAAGGCTTCCATATGGAAGCTGGAATGTCATTTTGCCATTTTCGAACCTTTTCATCTTGGTCGGCATTGGTCGATTTGCTTTTCTCATCACATTGAATGTGTTCGTAAACGTTCTTGTACTGACGCGTGTCGCCTTTGCTCGCCCTCTTCTGCGCAGGATCTTCCACCTGTTGATTACTGTGATAGTGCAGCTGTTTGTGATGCGCGACTTGGAGAAGCTGGCGGGTCCCGTGCGCACGGCGGTGATCTACATGTGCTCCGGCGTGGCTGGAAACCTGGCCAGCGCCATATTTGTTCCATACAGGGCGGAGGTACATACGTTTCGTCTGTTTTGGAAAGCATGATCATGGCACTTTTTTTGTTAATCAAGATTATGATTTTGTTAATTAAGTTATACCCCTTTATAAGAGTCACTGATGGTAAAGACAATTGGGTACAAGCGACGCTGTTATGCCCACATCGAAAGAATTGATCAGTAAATGAGAATATGGTACCCACCTCGTATAAAAAAGGCAAGAAGGGTTCTTGGTGTATGTCCCTTATCAATGAATGAATGAATCAATCAATCAATCTGAATTCCTTTTCGCAATGTCCAATACAGTGCTTTGCAAGTGCGAAAATAGGGGAGTAGGAAAAAAACCAGTGCTTGCACGACTTTTCTCTGAATGGGTTCGATTGTATATGCCCCATGAAGTGAAAAATTAAACTTCGATAGCTAGAGCAGCCATTTCCCTTCGCCACGTGCACTTCGTATGGCTGTCTACAAATGTGTTAAATTTACATAATTTGGTGATAAGGTTGTAGACCAAATTTGAAGCGAGTGGAATGGTTAGAATAAACCACTGTGCCGTTTTACAGCATTTTGATTACAGTGTAAGTAATTATCGTCAGTCATGTTGTATTTCTTCGTAAACTGAATTTGACGACCTACTCAAATTGCACACGACAGTTATTTGCTGGCTGATAACGCTGCTAAGGCATTTTATTTCAACATAAAAGTTAACTTGTGTGTGGTGCACCTACTGACATCGCCGCTATCACGGTGTCAGCTATCAGTATGTCAGTATGCCTAATTATGATGGCATCAACTAATTAAACATTCCAAATGGCCTCTTGTGCATCACCAACAGAGCGTTGAAGTGGAGTGGCCATGGAACCATAACAATATCTTGTGTGAGCATGTGACAAAAAGCTCGTCAGGTTTATGACATCAGTGTTCAGTAGCAATTAAAACTGGCTTTTAGAAGCATACAGTAGACTCTCAGTAAACGGAAATCTCTTAAACGGAACTGCAGCCTAAATGAAATAACTACCTCTGATATTGTTGGTTTCATGCTTTGATTCTGCCCCCCTGTTGAACTCTCAGTAAACGAAACTACTTTTAAACGGAATACATTTTCCCAGTCTCTTCAGGCTTCATTTAATAAGAGTTTAATAAGAGTCTACCATATTGTTTTCAGGGTGTGCTCACGCTTACCAGTTCATTTTATGAGCTCCTGAGGGACTACTAGCCTTTCATTTGACCCAAAGAAAAATTACTATTGAGAGTTCTCATCTCGGTACCCCTTTGAACCTTGGTGTTACTGCTTCCACGTACAATGTATATATATCTCCTCTCCCTTATCCCCCCCTCCCTACCCACAGGTGGGTCCTGCGGGCTCACAGTTCGGCCTGCTGGCCTGCCTGTTCGTCGAGGTGATCCACTGCTGGCAGATGCTGAAGCGGCCTAGCGCAGCCCTGCTCAAGCTCGGCACGGGCGCCGCCGTGCTCTTCCTGCTAGGCCTGCTGCCGTGGGTGGACAATTACGCGCACGTGTTTGGCTTTGTGTTCGGCTTCCTGCTGTCGTACGCCCTGCTGCCATACGTCTCGTTTGGCAGCTACGACCGGACGGCCAAGGTGGCCCTCATCTGGGCCTGCCTCATCGTGTCGGTGGCCCTGTTCGTGGGTCTTGTGCTGCTCTTTTACGTGCACCCCATCTACGAGTGCTCCTTCTGCCACTATCTCAACTGCCTGCCCCTCACGCGGGACCTGTGCGATAGCCACCGCATAAACATCACCCGCCAGGACACGTGATCGTGGCCCCTCCTCCCCTCCCGTCGTCACCAACCACCCTTTCGGTGACCACCTCACCCCTTGCGGCTTCGTCGCCGCCGCCGCAACGAAAAATGCCGTGGCTTGAGCGTTCGTCGTTGCCGACGTGTTCTTGAGAGAAACAAAGTTGAGAAGCGAGGCTTGCCTCAACATCCGAGCAGTGCCTGTGACAGTCGAGCAACCATGCATGCGCGCTGAAGAGCGAAGGCAGTTACGTCAATTTGCTAATGCAAGACGTTGGATGCAGCAATACGTGCTGTCGAGGCGCGTTTCGAGGAACGGAGAAAATCAGATGCGAGGCTTAGGTCATGAGCGACAGTGGCGAAGTGGAGCAGCTTGAAGTTTTGCTCTGTGTGCACACGAGAGATCAGTGACAAAAGCCAATGAGTCGTTACTATTCATGGATAGACGAATATCGGTTTTGCACAAAACAGTTGTCAAATGGTCATCAAACTACACAGTCATGGGACTTTTTGGGGACCCCATTGGAGGCTTTACTGCGCATTGCTGCAACTTCTGGTAGTATTTACTGTAGAAGTTAAGCGCGATTGATGCATTCTACGCGGGAACGTAGGATGGCACTGACGAGCCTCGGACAAATAGACCTATCACAAAGCCATTCGGCAGCAATTGGGGCTGCACCTGTGTGAGATTGTGCTACTACAGTATATGCATACTATGGAGATGGAAGGGTGTTACCCGAAACTACGCCCGCAAATGGAATGCAGTCGAGGTTTTCCTAAAAGAAGCGAGGTATAACTCACTTTGAAGTTGAGGGTCACCTAAAATTCAAAGGCAGTGTACCAGGCCTCTTGCACGATTGCTCTAGGACTGTCCAAACCAGTATTGAAGCCTTTCCAATGGCGAAGCAGACGGCTGAACTGACAACTGGACAGACGACTTAACTGATGACTCCTGTGTGCCTTGGCCTCAAAGCAACAGAGGCAATGGAGAATTCTTAAAGTGCAAAATCAGGCAAACGTGTGTTTGTGGGAACAGACGGTCATTGGCCCTTTGTCGTGCAACGGCATGGATGGCAAACAATGTGTGGTCACAAGTTCAACGGTGCATTTCGTTGAGCCATGGATGAGTTATCTAGAAAAAGGAAGAAGAGTTGTGCTAATCGCTAGTATCGCGTGCCGCATTCAGTATTTTGGTTTTCAGAACGAGAGACGTTTTCCTGTCCAGATGGCATGTCACAAAACTCTGGGCACTGTCGTAGTAGCTGCTGCCGACGTCATCCGCCACTTACAGGGTTGCACTGGTCATTCCAGACCATTTGATGACAAGGCACATAAGGATGGATCTGCAAAAGTCCCCATTGATTTCTGTTTTTTATTTATGTGGGACTGTCCTGGCAAAGCAAGTGATGTCACTACGTGCGGCTTTGCGGTGGAGTGTCACCATTGTTGGTGAGGACGATGAAGCAGTCTTCAAAGCAAGTTCAGAACGTCTACAAGTGCTGTTTGGAGCCTTCAGCGCAGAAGACGACGATGCAGCTCGTCTTCCACAAACCATCCAGCTGTTAAGCGTTGAAAAGACAATGGAAAAAAAAAAACAAAAGGAAACAGCGCGATCGCTCGGTCATGAAGTGCAGGCGAAGACCGAAGAAACGTGCGCGTCTGTCCGTGCAAGAATTCGCCTGCCGGCTTTCTTTGCAGGCTTGTGTGTTCATTGAATTTGGTGGAGAAAAAGAACAGCAAACTCTTTTTTTCTCCTCACTATTTCCGTTTCTCCCGTATTGTGTGTGGTGATTGTACAGGTCAAGATGTGGCAGACTGTGGTGCTTGTTTGACAAGGGCTCCACGATACGGGGTTAGTGTATAACTTGTTCGATGATCCTCGTTTTTGCCTTCTTTTGTTTGGCGTGGACGTTCCTTTTTCTCAAGATGTGCGGTGGTGACGTGTTGACTGTTATTCCACAACGGTTTTGAGATTGAGAGAGCCTGATACGTTCCCCCCCCCCCCCCCCCCTTTTTTTTTGTTGGTAGCGGTGTGTGACATGGTTCGTGTGGAAACATAACTGTGTTAAGCCTGACCCCTCCTGCTTGTTTGCCCTGCCATTTTCAATTTGATATTTGCAGGTCAACACTTCTCGCTTTTTGTTGACAAGCTTTACAATGCGTTGTGTTTCAGCAGAAGTTTACAATTGGGTAGTTACTGCTATTAATCCGTTATCTCGTTTCTGCCGGAGCTTACAGCGACAAGAAAGAAAAAAAGTTCTACGCTAGTGTTCACTGTCAGATTAGGTCACAGGGTGTGTTTTTTTTTTATCTTGCTTTATATTTATAGTTACTGTTGTGATACAATGGTTGTATTTAGTAGTTTTGTGTTTATATGTTTTTAGATGTTTATTGAGAAAAAAGAAATAACTTCATGTTAACTCTAGTCAGACGCACTCTGACCTTTTCATAGTGACCTTGTTGGCGTGGCACGCTTTCTATGCTTTCACGTGTGATCGCTAATCGTTTGATATTCGCTCGGCGTTGACGTTTTAATCTGAAACACAGCCGTGGTGGCATTTTCTCGGAATATGGCGAATATTGTGGGCATCGGATGAGACATTGTGTGTCCAATTTTGACAAACCTTGTTCGTTACGGCTGGTTATTTCAACGGCATAGCCAGCACCAAAGTACATTTGCTATATTTTATACTTCTCACATGCTTATATGCTGGTATTGAGGCTGAAAAACTCTCTCAATTCGGAAAGAAGTGTAGGCCTAACATGTCTGATGTTTAGCAGATGGCTCCATGTCAACTTCAATGACAAATTCAAGTATTGACGTGCTTGTACATGGCACTGTGATTAACATTTTACAGATGCGCTCTGCGTCTTTTTTAATACGCTGATACGCAGCTCTTCAACTCGTGGGATCACATCAGACGTATACATTGGTTTGTTGGCTATGGGCCAGTCAAGCTAAGCCACTGGACTAAAACGAAAATCCAGATTTGAGTTATTCAAAGAATCAAGCTGGTACTTCAATTGGCTCTGAATAATTTGATGTGTTAGCTACCAGAATGCATGCACCAACGTGCCAGACAAATAACTGTTTTGTTGGAATTGCCATGGGGCTAGACCTTGAATTCTTTTTTGTTTCTTCTTTAGTATAGGAGAACGCTTGCTAAAGTGAAGTGTAGCAGAGCAAATTTTCATTAAGCGATCATTTTCTACAGTAATGTCTGTTGATTCAAGTTGAAACCACATGACAAGGCTTGTCAGACTTGATTCTGTCGCTAAGTCCTTGACAGCAGGTGCCATCACCTGGGTTTCAATACTGGGTGCTAGAGTGGTCCCTTCTGAGCATATGAGGTTTTTTGGTGTCTAGGAGCAGCGTGACACATTGTTACCTAATATCGCAAAGCATTATTATTATTTCTATTGCTCATTCTACCTCATTAACATCCTTGCAAATTATAATGAACTACTTACTTGCGGCATTGCTTAGCTCATCGCAACATTGTCCAATTTTCTTAGAGCACTTTGTAAGTCCTGCTCAGCGACTCCACCAATTTTCCTGTGCAGGAACGTCGACTTTATTTCTTCGAATTTCACCAAATTAACATGCATTTTTCACAGTGTACACATGTAGTATATATATTTAATATATTTAGGATCACACAGGTGTTCTCACTCTGTTGCATTACCAGTGATCTTGAAGAATTCTTGCTGATTTGAATCAAATCATATCCAGCTCCGGTATCTGAAAAACAGTAGGCATTGTTTGCAAGTTTTTGGTGTTCGTTTTGACACGTCAATATTGGGAATAGGAGAGATTTCTTTTACAGAATTCACAAGGTGCAATAATTTTAAAGGTAAAGGCCTCACTGCAAAAGTAAGAGTTCCGTTTATCTACTCTGTTTGATCTGCAATCACTAATGTTCTTTATTTCGATGTCATTGACTTAAATGAAGCATAGCGACAACACGTAATGATCGACACGAACGACTGCCTGTAAGAGTTGTGAATTTCCAACATGCGGTTCCGTCATATTACAGCACCTTCAGTTAACTGACCTTCCTTACGATCACGCAAATTTGGTGTAAAGTCCACCGATTCTTTAACAAGCACGGCACGGCGTAGAAGTTTCGAGTTACTGCAAAACTTTATGTGGAAGTGCTTGCTGGCGCTTGTTGCTCCTTGAAAAATTGCCGTTTTTAACACGGCACGTGATAAGAAGCATTCAGCCCTGTCTGCTCTTTTATGTTATGCACAGAATACTGCAGGAAAAAGAATGCACCTGGCCACCTAGGTGATTTGTTCTCGCTTTCAGTTCATTGGTGTGCGAGCAGAACAGAATTTCCGTCGGTGTTTGCACAAGTTGCAGTGTGTGCGAAGAAACGTTTACATCAATATGAGGTTGTTTTAAAGAGATCAAATATTATTCCCGATTTGGCATAATTATTGTAATGTGATGTTTAAGGTCACCTGCATATTGTGCACATTTTCGTTGGCGTAATGAGTCACAGATTGTGACGTGACGTTTAGGCACCAGTTGGTGATAATGTTTCCCCAGTCCTCTGTTATCGTGTAGGGGAGGCTCATTTGTCACTCGCTTGGAACCTTGACCAGTTGGCTCAAGTTACACGTATCTTCAAAACTTCTCAGACTTGTTTGTTTGTCGTAAAGCTCAGTAACTCCGAAACAAAACGGTAATTTCCATTGCCTTGAGGAGTAATACTCTTCTTATACGAGCTCTCGTCCTCATGGCTACCATCTATATCGCTGATATCAGCATTAAGTTTAAAGCTTAGCGTAACGCAGATATGCAAAATTCGGCATAATTTCAGTGAGCAGCTGAAGCATTTCACCTTAGCTTATTCTGCCAGTGACTCCTTGTTCGCATGCTTACCATTTACACTAAACGGGAATGTTTTTTTTTTTCAACGAACGGCATTATATGCCAAGCAAGCAGCTTTTTAGTATTGAATATTTGGCACAAGCGTTCTGGATTTAAACTGCTTGTGGTGTAATGTTATAGTAATTGCTTTTAGATTCGATACTCAATACCTGGGTGCTCTTCTTAAATCTCATATTGTTTTCTCTTGTGGCCAGAAATTAAAATGAAGTGTAATTTTGTGATGAATTTGTTAATGCTGTGTTTAGGTGATACCCTTCATGAATGGTTAGCGATACTTTCTGACTATGCGGCTATGTCTGTGCAGTATTCAGCCCCAACGTAACACTGGCACGTAATAGCATTAAATTTTTATGTATGATGTCACCTCTTAAATTTAGCAGCATCGAGCAGTTAATGTATTTGTCGTAAAGTCAAGTGGCAGAGATACGAACTCGTCTTAAGGAAAGCGCTGAAAACTTATGAGAATGAAAAATCAGACTTTTCGGTTTTGTCGGTCATTTTTTTTATCCAAGAGTGACTCGTTGTTGATGACTGTAGCAAAAAAAAAAGAAAAATATTATCACGACCGGGACTAATTGTCTGAGAGCACTAACGAGCAACCAAACTAGTTTGCCAGCGTTCCCAAGTTCAGCTGCCTGTCTTTCAGATATCCCACCTTAACTTCATGTAGATTCGCTTGATACTCATTGTAGACTTGATCGTTGGAGTGCGCGTGACCGCCAGCGGATGTGTTTAGGATGCCTACATTTTGTCCCCCCTTTCTTTTCGTTACGTTGTGAATGAAGTGTTTGCCGATAAAAAAAAAATCTAGTGAGGGGAAAGAAAACGTGTAGCCTTTCTTTTTCTGTCTCACCATGTGTGTTGTGCGAGTGGGGAATAAGCATGAAGCTTGTATAAACGTGTGTATACAGTGTATATAGCGATACCGACATAACTAACCAAAGCAAAGAAAAAAAAAAGAATCACCGCCCTCACCCTACCTACCCGAAGCCCTCACTCCTCCCCCCTGTTCTCTACCAAGGGCACACCGGAGTTGACAACTGGACGATGATGACAAGGGGTGTGCCAAGCGAAGCAAGACGTGTAGACTGCGTTGGCGAGCGTTTTTTTACCTTTCTATACAAGGGAGCGTGTTGAACTTGTTGCGCGGTGCCGGTGATGCACTGATGGTGATGACTCGGCATGTTTATTTGTTCTTTTTGTGTTGTTCTTTTGTTGTGATCCATTCCCCTGTTATACATGCTGGCTTTGACTGGAGGTTATCAAAAAGAAAAAAAATTAGGCAATGTTTTGAGGTTGCGAAAAAGAAAAAAAAGTTACGCAAAAGCAAATGAGGTACTGGCGATGGGATAAAAAAAAGAAGCTACCCCCTCTCTCACTGAACCGCCTCTCTCTCTCTCCTGAGAAATGTTTCTCGGTTGTAACAAATATATTTTAATAAATGCACACGATCGAAAGCAGCACTGGTGACTTCGTGGCTCCATGTGTCATTTATTTCGTCGAAAGCGTTGCCAAAGCACCAAGAAACTTTGGCCGGTTGCCTGGCTCTCAGAATGGCTGTTCCACATGTGGCAAGAAGATGTAGGTAGAACAAGGATTGTTAACGAGGGCAACGTTTTTAAAAAGTTTACAAAGATAGGATAAAAGTCAAGGGATGGCAAGTCCGTGACTCAACCATAGTCATGAGAAATCGTTCGTTTCTTTTGCGGTGTAGGACACACTCGGACAAAACAGGACACGTGCGCAATCGGGACAAGACACATCACTGCAAACATGTGTCCTGCCCTCTCGTATTGTTTTGGAGAACAATGCCATACTACTAGCCCCCGTGGAAGCCTCGTTAAAAAAAACATTCAGCGATGGACATCGACAAAGGCAACATTGTGACAAGTCGAATCTCTTTGCGCATAATTTTGACTGCAGAAACCTTCCTTGTTTGGTGATTACTCATCAATCATGGCAAGCCTCCAGTTTCCCGAAAACTTCTGCCTTGATTGGATGTCTACTGCTGCATCTGTTATCTCATTGGAGTGCCAACCACCATGTGTGTTAGCTTAGCGAACTGCATAGCCGTGCCACTGGTGTCATCATATAGCACAATATGTTGCCACCCATCTTAACCTAAGTGTAGGGCACTAAACTGCTCTCTGCAAAAGACGGTGTGTAATCAAAACTTGTGAAGAAGTTGACAGACATAGAATTAGGGTCATTATATCTGATGGGACATGATGGGCATTAGTGTCTCGTATAGAGACATCCAAAGATAGGATGTCACAAGTTTCGATAGCATTTACTGCATTGTGACGACTAAGGTGACAAAAAACGCGCTCAAACCAGTGACGACATGATGACATATTAGCTCATTGGTTAATGTCGTGAAATTAAGAGAAAAAAAGAAAAGTTTACCCATTGTCATGTGTTTAGTAATCGGCCTCTTATTCAAAATAAACAGCTTATCTGTCTACAACAGTTGAGTGCTATATTGCATATTATCGTCACCATGTCGGAGCTCTTTCTCAATAAAAAAAAAAAGCTTAGATGGTGCCAGTTGGCACTGCTAAGAGAAGCTACGCCCTTTTCATGGCACGGGCAAGTAATGTTACTAAGCACGCCTTCGAGCAAAATGCACCATCATGTGCCACCTTTACAAAAGATAGGAATGATATCAAAACCTCAAAAATGACCCCCCCCCCCATAGTAAAACAATTGGCATGTTCCAACACTTTTGCTGAAGAAACTTGCTCATTTGTGGAGACTAATGCTCAATATAAGAATCACAAAAGTTGATGCCTGGGCATGTTAGGAATTCACGCATACATTTGGAAAGCACAAACCAGATCCACACACAAAGGGCACATTACACTCGCATGCAAGTAGCTAAGTACTACATGTGGGCCATGCGCCATTTTCATCCATCTCTGGCTCTCGCTTTTAAAATATAGAAGTCGCTACGGGCAGAATTACAAGAACTGCCATAAGAGCAACCGCTCTGTAGCAATACCAACATACTAAGTGTGCACTGTGCAGCAGCACGCATTATCTTAGTATTAGCCACATGTGGCCTCACCCAAACCTGCTGTTAATTACTGACTCAATAGTCGATAGCAAGTATACAGGAGTCGTGTTAGTACTGGCCACTGCAAGGCCTGCAGTTGTTGACTGACTCAATAGTTGATACGTCAAGTATGCAGAAGTTATATTAGTACTAGCCCCTTCTGGCCACAGCAAGGCCTGCAGTAGTTGGGTGACTCAATAGTCAATACGTCATGTATACAGTAATGTTAGTACTTGCCACTCTTGGCCACAGCAAGGCCTGCAGTAGTTGAGTGACTCAATAGTTGATATGAAATGTATACAGGAGCCACACTAGCACTAGCCACTTCTAGCTACTGCACGGCCTACAATAGCTGAGTGACTGAATAGTTGAAACATCAAGTACTAGCCACTTCTGGCCACAGCAACTCCTGCAGTAGTTGGGTGACTCAATAGTTGATACGTCATGTATACAGAAGCCACGTTAGTACTAGCCACTTCTGGCCACTGCAAGGCCTGCAGTGGTTGAGTGACTCGATCATTGAAACGTCAAGTACTAGCCACTTCTGGCCACAACAAGGCCTGCAGTATACTGCAGGCCTTGTTGCTGGAGTACAGTGAACTAGTTCACTGTACTCTAGCATAGTAGTTTCAGTGGCATCAGTCAGTGCAATCGACGCATAAACAGTCGGTACAGACAGAGCTTTGTGACATCACTGTACAACTCTCCTTTATGCAACAACAACAAAAAAAACACGCTTCACATCCTGCTTTTTTTGGCTCGCTGCTGCTGACTCGGGTCTACGAGGGGCAGCTTCAGCTCCATGAACTTGCTGCCAACCCGCGAGCCGGGAGTCTTTCGTGTTCCCACGTGGCATCCGAGGGCGTACGCCAGTGTAGTCAGGATCCTGTCTGACGCCTTGGTGTCCAGCTGGACCGTTTTGAAGTCGAACTTGTACTCCTCCAGTATGAGCACCACGACCAGGATGTAGGCTAATACCTTGTCCTTCATCCTCTGTGGGAAGTTCCGCGACGTCACGCCCCTCTCGCTTCGTGACGTCAGCGTGAAGGTGTCCAGGAGGACACCCTTGAGCGGCTGCGCTATGTCCGGCAGGGGGTCCTTCTTTTTGACGTCGGTGTACCTCAAGCGAGAGACCGAGACCAGCATGGTGTAGAAGGCGAGGAGTCTAGCCTCGATGACCCTGTACTCGTCGTCACCGGAAAGGCGCGTGACCCGCTCTGTGACGTACTCCGGGTAGGTGGCCTCCGACCTCCACTGGGAGATCTGATCGGGCGTCGCGTTCAGCAAGGGTTCGGCGACTTCGTCGAGGTAGTCGGCGTGCTCGGCGGGGATGAGGTCTTCGATGCGGTACACGTCCTGCCGCACGGTCGCCTCACGGTTCTGGGGCGGTATGGAGTCAACGACGACGCCCGCCGGAGAGGGCTTGTCTACCGTCGCGTCGAGGGCCGCCAGACTGTCCTTGACGGCGGCCAGCGTGCTTGCGGTCGTCTCGTGGAGGGTGCCATCTTCGACGTTCAAACGGAGACGCGTCTCCACGGCTTTCCTCTTGCGCTTGCTACCAAACGCCGTCGCCAGGGCGTCCACCTGCTCGCGGAAGGTTTTGGCGTCCGCCTTGGAGGCGCCTTCGGCGGCAGCGCGTTTGGCGAAGTACGGTCGCATCGAGATCAGTTCGGCCGGGTAGAGCGAGACGGCGCCCGTGGCGACGTTTTCGACGGCCACGAAGTGGTTGCACTGCGCGTTGGCTCTGAGTCCGTGCTCGCCGAAGTTCTCGCCGACGTACTCCAAGCCGTCGGCCTCGCAGGTCAGGACGCGGCGGGTCCTGGTGCGACCGCCGGTGATCACGTCGTGCTCGTAGACGGTCGCCGGCAGCCGCGTCGACGCGTTCAGCGAGCCGTGGGAGAAAGAGACGATCGGTACGCATTTTCGTTCCTGGATCGCTCTCAGGCGCCACTTCTTAGGTGCCATTTTGCATGCTCGCGAGAGGTAAACAACGCAACGAAACACGCGATCGACACGATAATAGACGGGACGAGAAACGTGGTTCGCGCCATGACCTACTACACTCCTGACCTGCCCAGAGAGCACCTCTTCCAGCGCCCACGTTCTAGTTCATACCTTCTGCCGCTAGGGCCGTCACCTACGAGCGGCGTGGCGCTAGGCAGCACCTGTTCGCTGTCGTCTGCTTCAGCCATCGCTGTGGCAGTGCAAATCGTTCTTATTGTGCATGAATTGTGTATGAATGTGTAAAATATGGCAAATAAAGCGATATGATTCCTCGTCAGAGTTGGCTGCATTCGTGTGGACGTTTGAAGCAGAATTTGAACTTGATATTTTTGTAATTGTTGCTTAGATAACATTGCTAACTGTTTGCCAGTGCTGTCGTGCTAAAGGCGTCTGTGGGCCTATGTCAAGCTGCCTCTTTCGAAGAGCAGCTTTTACCTGCCGCTGTCCTTCATCAAACTATTGATGAAAAATAAAACATTATTATTATTATTATTATTATTATTATTATTATTATTATTATTATTATTATTATTATTATTATTATTATTATTATTATTATTATTATTATTATTAACTATGCTCGACAAGATGATGATAATGATGACGATAAAAACTTTATTGGGGTCGCAATGTGTTGCCCTCGATAGGCACATCACTGCCTTTACCATATCGTCTCATCGCACGGACATATAAAATCATAGAAACGCGCATCGGCCAGCGCTCCCCGTTCCAGCAGACAAACTCCCGTAGCGAAATTTGACGCACAATTTTTGTTGTGTAGGTCACAGTAAGAGTTAAAGCTTCAATTCCTGTGTCTCTCCTTGATATGCGTCCGTGGGCGTATGTGCATTATTCTCTTCTATCAATTGACTACAAGTGTAACACCTGTCCAGGGCGAGTGTCCAAGGTAAGTGCTCAACAGGGGCACTGCGTTTCACCTGACGCGTCCTAAACAACCTAAAATCAGTTTGATATTCTATTACCAATGAGTACATTATTAGTCAAAAGCTTTATGAATACTAAATTGAAGTTTTTTTAGGCTGGAATGGCAAAAACAACCATGCAGCAAGACATTTCTACGCAAATATACAGCTTTAGAAGTCAATCAACCAGTATAGCCTAACTACTAAAATGTAACACATAGCACACGTTAGCCTTTTCAGCAAAAAACAATCACACGTATAGGCAGTTTGTCACAGAAGCAGACGCATGGTATCAGTCCGTCGCCCTCCTGCCGGCCGCACAGTAGCAGACGAACAGGTTATAGGTAGCGCCACCTACGGCGAGCGATTGAACGAGAGCGGGGACACGCGCTCCCATAGGAACCCCGCTATCTGAACAGGTCAGGAGTGTAGTAGGTCATGGTTCGCGCCCTCAAAAAGTAAGCGTGGACTTGACCCGCCACCAGGGTTTCGGTTTCAATAGTTTCTTGCCAATTTGGTAAATAATGTTCTATATGCGCTTTATTGTCATATAGTTTATAAAGTTGCTTACATATATTTATTTTTAAGTTTGATTTGCTTGTCATATTTTGTTAATACACTAACTAGTGCCGCCCTCTACTTTTGAATGACTTGAAGTGCGCGCACCGACCGGTCTCTTTCATCGGGTCGCCGTCATCATGGTATGTTGGTTTCTTCCGTTGTGCGATGTTCAATCTGGCAGCATCGGCGTTTTCCATGCATTTGCAGTGATCAATCTATAATAGTCTTGTAGGCGATATCTCTTTTTACCTCTGCGTAGCCTTATTTCCGGTTTGATGGTTCGTAATATTTGCAATATTCGCCGCCAGCGCGGCCGCACCGTTGACTCGTTCCCTAATGGTCGCTAAAACGTGCCTTCGATCATCTCGCGTTTCATCGTACTATACCCATAGTTGAGAAATTCGCGCGCGCGATGTGCTGCATTCTAGGAATGAAATCGGCATACTCGCGTCGATGCGTAGTGGGTTACCTGTGGTTTGTTAGCACTACGTAGGGACTCAGCAGCAGCGTGGAGCACGTTTCAAACGGCGCTAACTTTTCCGTTGGTATCAATAAGCCGTGAAGCTTCCGCAAGATATTTCAAACTGTATATTTGCGAAGTTTATTAAGCCGCTCTGGCGTTGAAAATTGTGGTAGCACATGCTTGCTGCAGCGTGCTTGAGTAACCTCTGCACGAACAGTTTTTTTCTGATACCGTCTCTTTTGTCTAATAACACTGCGTTTATGGAGGGGAATGCCACATTTTACAAGGGACGTTTTTAAATTTGGTAACGTTGAAGACTACATGCGTGTGGTCACGAGGGTTGTAGGTTCGATTGCCGTACCTCACGTGGCACCGGTTTAAAAACTCCCTTCTGCTAACCGGAATACTTGCTGAAACATGCTTCCTGCTGCGATGCTAACTTGACTCTGCAGCTGCTAACTGCGTAAAACTTGGGTCATCGCGACATTGCCCTCACCATCCACGTGACTGCACTCTTGGATGCACGTGGTTCACTTTGATTGGCTCATTTACGCTAGCTGCTCTGGGGAGCCAATCGCAGTTGCGCAACACCGGTATTAGGCTTAACAGTTCTTTTAGGAAACGTTATGTGCATAACTTTGCATATTGCCAGTGGTTAATACACTAGATTTCTGTTACAAGCATAAGGATTACTTGTTAACTAACCACGCCTCATTAGCAAAAAATATTCATAAACTGACAAGACATGCAGCAAGGCAATGCAAACTGTTTCAACACCAGTTTTACCATTTTCTTTATTTTAGCATGGTAATATTTAACACAGCACTTCGTATTATGCAACTTGCATAATTTGATGCCTTGGAATAGCCGTCCGAGTATACAGTTCTTCAAAAGTGCATTCTTCTTTAAACACCAGATTGTGCAGATATTTGAAGCTCTCCACTACATCGTGTCTTGAAGGGACAAAAGAGTCTTGACAATTTACGTCTGAGTGAAAGCTCAATGTTTGGTAGCATCTAAAACATCATCATCAACAGCAGTGTCCTACTTACCAGGAAATTGAGGTAAATGCACAAGAATACATGCGCCACAGTAGGACATTATCAAAAGGATTACAATGACGTCAGGTGAACAGTCTACTATTAATCACTTTTAAGCGATCTAGCTGCACTAAAGAACCTTTTGTGCATCACGAGAAGCAATAAAATGCTGCCTGTTCATTTCTGTTTGATTCCTAGGAAAAACCCGCTGGACGGTACTATTGGGAAAGGCGCGAGTGGTTCACGAGTTCAATATCCGCATGTTCAACCTGGACAGGTCGTGCCATCTAGTGGGGTGCAGTTGGAACAATTATTTATTAAAACACGTCTGCCATCTTGGAGCCGATGGCAGGAAATTTGTCAATGGCCGTTGCTGCTGTGGCTCCTGCTGTTTTTGTTCTATTTACTAGTGTCTGCAACCGCTATTTTAAACCAACGTCGCCTTAATAGTTGCCTTTAGTCTTTAAGTAGTGGTTCTGGCACTTAGACCCCACCAAATAATTTAATTTTTTGCTGCTATGTTTTGAGACATATTGTGAAAATCACGTGCAGGTTGTAATGTTTTTCCTTGCCCTGTCTCACTGCAGTCTCATCGCAAGTTTTCGGCGCCCCGTCATGGGTCCATGGGCTTTGTGCCCAAAAAGCGGAGCAAGCGCATCCGTGGCAAGGTCAAGGCGTTCCCCAAGGACGACCCGACCAAGCCCATCCACCTTACTGCCTTCCTGGGCTTCAAGGCCGGCATGACGCACATCGTGCGCGAGGTCGACAAGCCTGGATCGAGTAAGTGTCCCCAACCGGCGCGCCTGACTCCTGTCCAGGGGGTCAGGTGGTGCACCACTGGTTGCTATGGCAACCATGTGCACGCCTCCTCGAGAGGCCACTGGCAGCTGGGTCACCTTCCCTGCTTGGTCAGCGCGTCGGCAGCTTGATCTTAAAAACATTTTTAAGGTAAAGGGACCATGTACTGTTTGCATAGTTGCTGTTCAGAAGCCCTAGAATTCGGTGGAGGTTCAGTCTTCCAAACTGCAGCACGCGCAACGGTTGAGTCAACTAAGCAATATCTAGCTTGACCTTTAATGGGGTGCATCTTAATTTGAAAGGAACATGAAACTGTTTCGATTGTTAAGCACAACAGCTGCAATGACTCCCTTATGGAGAAGCAGAGGCTTTCCATTTTATTGGGCCCAGTCCTTGTAATAGGCAGCCCAAATTTGCATTGCTAAATGCCCATTAGGCTCATCACCATGTAGGGCTGCTTAGTGTCCCTTTATGCAAGGCTCGGTCTGCTTGTAGCATTGAGCTTTTCTGTTCCCCAACTTGAGTATTGTTGCCCAGGAGGAGCTCTCCTTTTTATGGAGCTCTCTCAATGAGGTGAAACTGAAAGTTCTCGTATCATTCTAGGCTTTATTTATTCAGAATACTGTCAATCCCGTGATGGGATTATTACAGGAGTGGTGTCATATTCATTGTAAAAGCAAGCAATATACAGACTAAAAATACATGTTGCAAGCACTAGAAATTTCAAGCAAATATTTCAAACATAGTGCAAAATTCGCCGTAGTGATAAGCAAAGAGTCTTTCTGAATATAAACATCAGATGAATTATTGTACAGAGTTAAACTTGCATTATCTTCGATTCAGGAAATCATGGCTAAATAAGTCAGCTCACTTTCACTCTCTCGATTAACAAATTTATCAACTGTCGGCTGTGTCAACACGGTGGGGTGCAGGGCATTCCAAGCGCATATGGCTCGCGGGAAAAAAAGTGGCCAAAAACATTGTTCTTAAAGGGATACTCGTCAAGTGTGTGACAATGCTTATTTCGTGTTTGGCGCTTACTCTTAACCTTAACATAATTAGCCAGATTGATTTTCAAAAAGTTGTGTAGCACCAGATATAAAAATCTCTGACTATGAAGCTTGGCGCGGCTCGTCAGGGTGGGCAGATCTGCTCTTATCAAAAGAGCAGTAGGTGAGTCTACGCCTATAACAGTTATAGATAAAACGGACTGCTTTACGTTGTATTCTTTCAAGCGCGGCTACATGTTTGTGAAGGGGA